GACTCAAGTTCCCATTCAAGTAATTTCTTGTATATTTTCGTTATCAGTTTTTTCTCTGATTCCATTATTTTATCCCAGAAGTTTTTTTCTAGATTGAACCCTATTTCCTTATCTTTTTTATATCTTTCTTTGATTTGCCAGTATTGCAGCCATGATACTTTTTGGTCTAACGTGTTTAGTTCGTGCTGTGCTTTTAGTGTTACTTCACCTCCCTCTTTCTTTAATATATCCTTATATTTTGGCCACTCATACCAGCCCATACACCTTCTTTGTTCAGCCTCTAGAGGGGATATCCATGTCGGTATTTTTTTATATAATTTGTTCTTATATTTTTCCCAAACCTTCAATATTGTTGATTGCACAAAATGATTCCCAAAATTCTTTGTCGTGTCGTCTGTGAAATGACCACTGATGGGTCTTCCTGTGAGCCTGCACAGAAATTCGGAATATTCTAGAGTTTTTATTGAGTTGAATCAGGCAAAACTCTCAGCGTGGTTTCACTTTAGTTCCTTTTCCACGCGACAGCAGTAACTTCGGTCTATTCCTATCCCTTGGCTTTTCTGGTTATTGGACTCTTTCTGGCTTCTGACTACGCTGATCTCTCCTGCCCTGACCCTGGACCGTCCTTGGATTCCTCTCAGGCTAGATGGCTACCTTATTTTTTAAAAATTGCTCGGCTTGTGGGACTACGCTCCCCGATGCCGATAGGCATTCTAAATGCCTCTTATGCCTGGGCGAGTCTCACAGCCCCCAAACCTGTGAGATTTGCAAAAGCTTTACCACTAGAGCTCGGAACAGCAGAGACGCTCGTCTTAAGGCTTTGTTATATGAAAGAGCGTTGGCCCCAGAGGCTTCCTCCGCCTCCGCGCGCCACGTGGCAGGGACCCACCAATCCCCTGATATACAAACAGCTCAGCCTCCCTCTCCTTCTGGAGATAGGCCTGACTCCAACTTACCCTCTGTTCCCTCTACGGAGCCTTTGAGGAAAAAGCCTAAGCCTTCTAAACAGGCTTCAAAATCAGACAAAACAAAAGAAAAAAACTCTAAACAAAAAAAGGGACAGCAACTCACTGGCACACAGCCCTTGAGCCCTCCCCTTCTGGATCCGATGCCTCAGCCACTCCCCTCTCCCCACCATGTGCAGGAATCGCTGGCATCCTTCCTCCAAATTGAAAACCCTCCCCAAATTCCCCCTCTTGAGCTCCTTTCCACTCACCTTCAGGGACAAACCTCGCCGGATCCGGCTCTCTCGCCGCCTCCGCTTCCTCCCTCTCAATCCTCCCCCCCTCCCAACCTCATTAGCCCTGCTCCCTCGGTACCGCTGGTCTCCACCCCCCAGGATCCGCCCCCACGAAGGGAGCGTTGCCCGCGGAACTGCCGTTCCGCCTCCTCTGAGTGCTCACAGAGCCCTTCCCCGCCTCCTCCAAAGCGCGCGCGCATCCTTCCCATCCCATCCATTACCCTTATCCGGAGTACCCTTACCATCTCTATCCCCTTCCTCCTCCATACCCAGCCTATCCCTTCTATTATCCTCCTCCAGATCACTATGAACAAGGGCCTCCTGATCCTCAGCTGATTAGGCACCCATACCCTCAGCCTCAGCGTGCGCCCCCCTCGGCCACCATTTCCCATCCTCCCCCACACCCTCAACCAATAGAGGAAGATCCCCCCCCAGAGGACCCCCCTCTCCCTCAACCTGACTCAGATACAATTGAGCTTGATTCTCAAGATGCTACCCCTGCCTTCCCTAATCCTCAACCTGACTCTGATGTCACTCCCCAACAAATTCAGGACTTTAAAAATTTCTCTGCCCTGTTAATCAGACTTTCTAGGGCCCTTAATTTGTCTATTCCTGAACCCTCTGATACAGTTCAGGACCCTTGTTTCACCACTTCAGAACAACAACCTCCTGTGTCGACCTCCCTCCCCACTCTACCATACCTTCTAAAAATTCTAAAAACTACTGGGGTTGCTCCAGCCCTTGTGCCAGCTACACCCAAGAGAGCAGAAAATCTCTACCGTATTGACCTTACTGCAGCATCATGGCTCTCTAAGATGCCTAAAGCAAACTCCATAGTGACAGATGCTCAACCAAAACCTATACAAGCTAACCAATCCTCCCCTTCAGATAAAGAGGGAAGGAAATTGGATACTATGGCCAAAAAATTCTACTCCTCAGCATGCTTGTTTGCACGCATGGCTCACTACGGAGTCTATATGAGTGTCTACCAGACATTTCTCTGGAATAAACTGACTCCTTACTTAGATCTCCTCCCTGCAACAGATCAGCCCTTAATTAAGGCCTTCCAGCAGGAAGCACTGCTACTATCTAAGCTACAAAAAGAGCTTGCAAAAAATACTGCTGACACTTCTGCTAAACTCATTGCTGGCTCGGTGGCCCTACGCCGCCACGCCTGGTTACGCGCTGCCATTCTTTCCCCATCGCAGCGCAACCTAATTGAAAACCTCCCATTGGATGAAGCAGGCCTCTTCAACTCAGATACAGATTCTCAATTAAAACATTCTCATGAGATGAAACAGACAGTAAACAAATATGACCAACAATCATATCCCTACCAACAAAAACAGAGATGGGGTTCTTACTACCAGCGACCCCAGTTCTATCACAGACCTTACTACTCCTCCTTCTATAGAGGAAGAAGACCGTACTCATCGACTCTGCCTTCAAGAAGACCTCCTCTCCCTGCCAGGGGTCAGTACCGTGGTACCAGGCCACCTAACAACAACAAACGTCGCTTTTAGCAAACAAATTAGCCCTATTCCTCCCCCAGCCCCTGATTCCACACCCTCCCCCTCTTACCTTGATAGACTCCAACCATATCTCCCTGCATGGCAGGCCATAACGTCTGACACCTGGGTACTTGATATTGTTGATAGAGGTTATGCTATTGAATTTCACTCACACCCCCCGACAGGCAAAATCATACTTACCGAATCTTCTCCTGTCATCTGGGAAGAAGTAACCTCCCTTCTCCAAAAGGGTGCTATTTCTCCAATTCCCTCATGTGAGGCCTCATCTTGTTTTTTCTCCCGATACTTCCTTGTAGATAAACGGGATGGAGGACTCCGCCCCATCCTAGACCTACGCAAAGTCAATACCTTTATAACACCCCGTAAATTCCGGATGATCACTCTACCCAACATACTTCCCTTCCTCCCGGAAGGAGCATGGTTAGCGACCATAGACCTCCGAGATGCATATTTCCATATCTCAATTCGACCTCACCACCGCAAATTTCTTAGTTTTGCAATAGATGGTCAGTTTTTCTCATTCAATGTACTCCCATTCGGGCTTTGTACCTCTCCTAGGGTGTTTACTAAATGTATGATTGTTGTGGCAGCACACCTTCGCCAACAGGGGATTACAGTCTTCCCGTACCTGGATGACTGGCTTTTGTGCTCGAAATCTCGCTCTGAACTGTCATCTGACATTCATTACACTTTATCTCTTCTGCAGGACCTGGGCCTCATCGTGAACAAAGAAAAATCCCACCTCCTCCCGTCCCAACGAATACAATTTATAGGAGCTGTCCTCGATTCTACACTCCAAAAGGCCTACCTCCCAGAAGACCGCCTGCACAACCTTCGGCAGGCCATTCTGGACCTTCAGCACCACAGGTCTACCTCCGCATGGGCCATCCAGTCCATCCTTGGCCATATGTCATCTACCACCAGTGTTACCCCCTTTGTACGTCTACGGTTACGACCTCTCCAAAACTGGTTCCTCCGTGTGTTCCGTCCCCACAGAGACTCCCAAAGCACCATCCTCCACCCCCCCCCCAGCTTGTCCTCGACTCCCTCTCATGGTGGACAAAGCGACACAATGTGAACCGAGGAATGCCCTTCCACCCACCCAAGCCATCCATGGCCCTCACGACCGATGCCTCCACATCGGGATGGGGGGCTCACATAAACGACCTCCAGATCAGCGGCCGCTGGTCGGATTCGGAGCGTCAACTACACATCAACGCCCTAGAACTCATTGCAGTAGAGAAAGCCCTCCGGGCCTTCAGCCCGATTATACACAACCATACAATCCAAATAGTGACGGACAACACCACCGTCAAATACTACCTCAACAAACAGGGCGGAACACACTCCCAGACTCTTCTCTCCATATCAACCCGCATCTGGGAATGGTGCATCAAGGAAAGAGTTTTCCTGATCGCCATTCACCTACCGGGTCAAGACAACACACTGGCCGACTCACTGAGCAGGTCCACGCAGACCAACCACGAATGGCAGCTTCACCCAGCCAAGTTCAAAGTCATATCCAACCGCTGGGGCATGCCCCAGATAGACCTCTTTGCATCACCAACAAACACTCAATGTCCTCTATTTTGCGCAAGGCTCCCCCCTCACGCATCCCCAGGCTGCCATTCCTCTTCCAATGGAATCCCGGCCTACTCTACCTCTTCCCCTCCTCCCTCTCCTATCCTCGGTTATAGCCAAAATAATCACAGACAATACAAATTGCATTCTGATAGCGCCATGGTGGCCCCGCCAGCCATGGTTCACCCCACTCCTCCAACTCTCACAGGGCCAATTCCTCCGGCTCCAGCCGTCCCCAGACCTTCTCACTATCGAGAACGGCCTAATATAACACCCGGATCCACACTCCCTCCACCTGACTGCGTGGAGGATCGAACCACGCTAGTGCTCTCTGACGAAGTGTCCCGCATAATTCTGGCAGCCCAAAAGCCGTCTACTAAGAAAGCATACGCTTACAAGTGGACCATCTTTAAAACATTTGCTGAAAGTACGGGCCGAGCCCCATCCGTGACATCCATCCCATTAATGTTAGATTTCCTCTCCCACCTAGCCGCTAAAGGCTTCTCCTTTTCGTCAGTAAAATGTTATGTAGCTGCCCTGTCTTCCCTTAGAAGGAAGAAAGACTTGCCGTCCCTTTTTCAGGATAACAATGTTCCGTTATTCCTCAAAGGTTACAAAAATCTCTACCCCCCAGTTTCCCCCCCCCCCTACACCTTCATGGAGCTTAGAACTAGTTTTATCCCAGTTGTCTAAACCACCCTTTGAGCCTATGTCTTCCGCTCTGATATCCCACTTATCGTGGAAGACTGCCTTTCTAGTGGCTGTTACATCTGCAAGGAGGGCGAGTGAGCTCTCTGCTCTTAGAGCTGACCCCCCCTATATTCGTTTTCACGAGGACAAAGTAGTCCTCCACACAGATGTTTCTTTCCTACCTAAAGTGGTGTCCCATTTCCATATGTCCCAGGACATCTCCTTACCTGCCTTTTTTCCTAACCCGACCTCACCGTTAGAGGTCACACTTCACTCGTTAGATGTTAAAAGAGCACTATCTTTTTATATACATAGGACAGCATCATATAGGAAATCCCCTAGACTCTTTCTTAAATATAGAAAAGATACCATGGGTCAACCAGTGACTTCTCAAAGACTCGCCTCCTGGATCATATCCGCTATTAGAATAGCTTATCAGCTGGCGGGTAAAGAACTGCCACCTCATGTTACAGCTCATTCTACCAGGGCAGTCTCTACCTCTCAGGCTTTCCTCCGCGGAGTACCTCTTGACCAAATCTGCAAGGCAGCAACTTGGTCCACACCATCAACATTTGTCTCTCACTACAAACTTGACCTGGCAGCGAAGAAAGACGCAGCCTTTGGCAGAGCGGTACTCTTCTCCTGTGTGGCATGACCCACCTCCAGGTCAGTAGCTTGTTATGCTCCCATCAGTGCTCATTTCACAGACGACACGACAAAGAATCATAAGTTGCTTACCTGTAACTGTGGTTCTTTGAGTGTCGATCTGTGAAATTAGCACGAACCCGCCCATCCTCCCCTCTAGGTCATGCCCTTCTTATTTTTTCCTTGGTTGCTATCTGGCGCTAAGGAACTAAAGTGAAACCACGCTGTGGGTCCTTTATACGACCGGGGGGGGTGGGGGTGGGTGGGCGGGGCTTCTTATTGGTTTAAAAAAACTCAATAAAAACTCTAGAATATTCCGAATTTCTGCGCAGGCGCACAGGAAGACCCATCAGTGCTAATTTCACAGATCGACACTCAAAGAACCACAGTTACAGGTAAGCAACTTATGATTCTTTTCTGTCTTCTTTCCCTTATACCAAATGTAAGTGTGCCAACCCTCTCTTAGCTCTATCCCTTCTAGAATCAGCAACTTCTTTTTCTCCGGCATCGCCCAGTCCCTCGCCCAGATTAAGGCGTTTGAGTCAAAATATATTTTTAGGCCTGGTGTGGCTAATCCCCCTTTCTCCTTTCGTTCTCTCATGTTGTCATAGTGAATTCTTGGTTTTTTGTTTTTCCAGATAAATCTTGCCACTTCTCTGTTCCATTCTTTTAATGTCTTCTGGTTCCTTACTATCGGCAGATTTTGGAATAAGAACATCATTTTTGGTATTACCATCATTTTTACCATTGCTATGCGTCCCATTAACGATAGGTTCAGGTTATTCCATCCTTCCATGTCCTTCTTGATTTCCTTCCATTTTGCTGTATAATTGTTTTGTAATAATTGCAAGTTTCTAGCTGTCAGTATTATCCCTAGGTATTTTAGCTTTGTGACTATTTGTATCTTCCAGTTATCTTTTATTTCCTCTTGTTCTTTTTTCTTTATGTTTTTTGTTAATGCTTTGGTTTTTTCCATATTAATTTTAAATCCCAAGACCTCTCCGAATTTCCTTATTACCTTAAGCCAATCTCCTAGTTTCTGTTTGGGGTCTTCAATTATACATATGACATCATCCGCATATGCTCGTATTTTATATTCTTGCCCTTGTATTTTCGCTCCTTTTAGATCTTTTTCTTCCCTTAGTTTATTCAGCAATATCTCCAGGGTTAGGATGAACAAAAGTGGGGAAAGTGAGCATCCCTGACTTGTTCCTTTCTTAATTTCTATCTTTTCTGTTTCCCTTCCATTTACTATGATCCTTGCCTCTTTATCGTATATTGCCTCTATTGCATTTAAGAAGTAAAAACCTAGATCCATTTCTTTCATTATAATTTTTAGAAATTTCCAATTTACATTGTCGAACGCTTTTTCTGCGTCTGTTAAAAACATTACTTTGTTTTGATGTTTAATTTCGTAATACTCGATTAAATCGATGATCGTTCTTACATTTTCTTTTTGATTCCTATTTGGTAAAAATCCTGATTGCTCCTCTTTTATATATTCACTTAGTAGTTTTTTTAAGTCTCTCTGTCATTATATTACTGAAAAATTTGTAATCTACGTTCAACAATGTTTCTTTGTCAGTGTTGATGTGGAAAGTGTCTGATTTGCCTACTGTGGATCATGCAACATATAATTATCCCTCTTCAGGGGTCCCTTTCAAATCTATGATACTATATCTGTGTGTGTGTGAATCATATCTATCTATATCTATGGCTGGATGACTCTTTTTCAGGAGGGCTTTGATTACGTTTTCTTGTCCTAGTGAAGGGAGTGGGACTGGATGGCCTTGAGTATTTTCTGTTGGTCATGGAGGTTCTGGGGGAAGTTTGGCCCCATTTTGTCATTGGTGGGGTTCAGAACACTCTTTGATTATAGGTGAACTATAAATCCCAGTAACTACAACTCCCAAATGTCAAGGTCTATTTCTCCCAAACTCTATCTATTTCCATATTTGGGCATATGGAATATTTGTGCCAAGTTTGGTCCAGATCCATCATTGTTTTAGTCCATGGTAGTCTCTGGATGTAGGTGAACTACAACTCCCAAACTCAAGGTCAATGCTCACCAAACCCTTCTAGTGTTTTCTGTTGGTCATGGAAGTCCCGTATGCTCTGGTTGGTTCAATTCTATCATGCTATTTGTAGGTGAACTATAAATCCCAGCAACTACAACTCCCGATGTAGCTATCTATCGATCTATCTATCTATGGCTGGATGGCTCTTTGTCAGGAGGACTTTGATTACGTTTTCTTGCCCTGGGTGTATTGAATGCTTGTGCCAAGTTTCGTCCAGATCCATCATTGTTTGAGTCCACAGTGCTCTCTGGATGTAGGTGAACTACAACTCCCAAACTCAAGGTCAATGCCCACCAAACCTTTCTAGTGTTTTTTATTGGTCACGGGAGTCCTGCATACCAAGTTTGGTTCAATTCCATCATTGGTGGAGTTCAGAATGCTCTTTGATTATGGGTGAACTATAAATCCCAGCAGCTACAACTCCCAAATGACAAAATCATAATTTTTTGAGTGATGGTCACTCCTTGTGTTATGAGACGTTTTGTTGCCAAATTTAGTGTGATTTTGTTCATTGGTTCTTTTGTTTTTAAGGTACTCATTACGCACATATTGGAATTTTCTTTTTGGAATATTTCCAAGCCGTGGGTGTCGAATCTGTCGGTATGGGGAACCAGCTGTATCATGTGGTGTTCACATCCTCCTTTGTATCCCAACAGGAAGATCGAGGGAAAATGCGGGACCTGTTCACCCCGCAGTTCCGATGGACCACCCTCCTGCTTTGGTTTATATGGTAAGAAAATGCATATCATCCTTCTTGGAGTTCCAACAGAGCCACTCACTTTCCTTGACTTCTCTGTAGGTTCTCCAATGCCTTCTCCTACTATGGCTTGGTCTTACTGACGACGGAGCTCTTCCAGGCTGGAGACCTCTGCAGCTGTGAGTCCTCATTCTCTTGGTAGCGTTCTTGGTAGCCTAAAAGGGGAAGATGGGGTGGGGGTTCAGGGCTCCAAAAGCTAAAGGAGACTCTCATGTCTTCCCCACCTTCTCATTGGTCTTCTTGCCACGCCGAAGTGTCGAGCAGGAGGAAAACGGCAAAGCCCAAATGCAGCTTGGCCTGCGAGATCTTGACGGAGAAGGACTATGTCGACTTGCTGTGGACCACGCTCTCTGAGTTCCCAGGTGGGCAAATAGAGGCTTTGGTCACGATTCTTATTCATTTCTTTATAGCAGTAGTTCTCAACCTTTCTAATGCTGCGACCCCTTAATACAGTTCCTCATGTTGTGATGACCCCCTACCGTAAACATGAAATGTATTTATTTATTTGTTTATTTGCTGTATTTATATCCCACCCTTCTCACCCCGGGATGTCTGAGTGCTGGGCCTCCACTTCCACCGTGCCTCCCTCCGCCATGTCTCCCAGACTCGTGGCGGTGGCAACAGAGAAAGTGACGGCAGCAGAGGATGAGGTGGTGGCGAAAAAGGTGACAGGTGTGGGAGCAGTAGCAGGAGTGGCCTGTGCTGCATGCTGGGGCCTCGCCTCCTCCCCAAAGTGAAAGGGCACCATGGAGGGTGTTTTTGGTTGCTCCCAGCATGCAGTGTGAGCCACTCCTGCTGCCCTGCCTGTCATCTTCGCCGCCACCACCTCCTCTGCTGCTGTCACTTGCTCCGGTTGTCACGCTGCACTCCCAGCATGCAGCATGGTGACCGGAAAAAGTGATGGAAGCAGAGGAGAAGGCAATGGCGGCAGAGGTGACAGGTATGGCAGCGGCAGGAGTGGCCCACGCTGCATGCTGGGAGTGCAGCGCGACAATCGGGGACACACTCCATGACACCCCTCACTTCTGCAACCCCATGGATGAGCACGAGGGAGGGAGGAGGAAAGGCCCCAGCATGCAGCGTGGGCTGCTCCTGCCACTGCCGCTGCACCTGTCACCTCTGCTGTCATTGCCTCCTCCACTTCCGTCACTTCCTCTGGTCGCCGCACTGCATGCTGGGAACCGGCCGTGCAGCGGAGGAGGTGAGGCCTTGCACAGGGCAGCGGTGCCAGGTCTGCGGGTGAGAGCGAGCCCAGGCAGCCTGAAGGACTGCGCCTCCCTCTGTGACACACGCATGCATGGTCGCGACCCCCAGGTTGAGAACTGCTGCTTTATAGCCTTCGGAGCATAGCCTAATATCATTGGAATCGGGGATGTCGTGCAGGGCACTTCATTATTTTATCTCATTAAGCCTCCTTTATTTAGAAGGGGTTCTATTCTTTATTGATGTGTGGATTGAATGCAATTGCCTTGTTTTCTATACACTTTTGGCAAGGTTTCTTCAAATTGTAACACCAACTTCTAAACGCGCAAAGTGTTTGGTTTCCTTGCTCCTCTCAGCCCCGTCTTCCAGAACCCAGAAGAAGCTACTGAAGGAACAAGGAAGCCAAACACTTTGCATGTTTAGAAGTTGTTTAGCCGTTGGTTCATGGATTGAATGAAAGGATTGAATGGATGGCTGAAGACCATCCTAAGATGATCAGAGCCTTATGGCAAACTGGCGAATTGCCGACATTTAAAACCAGAGGCAGTTATTGAACTTGAGTTGAAAACACATTTAAATAGTCAAAGGCAATGACTTTTTAAGTTAAAGAGGAAAACCATATATACAGAGGTATAATAAATAAAATAATATTATAGTTTGATATTACTTTCTTATAGTTTGATATTTTCTTATTATTTTATTGTAAGATTGTTATATTTATTATGGCTATATTTTATTATTTTATTCTTATTGTATTATTATATTATTATATTTTAATAATATTATATTTATTATTTTATTGTTATGTTATTTTATAATGATATTCTATTGTTATATTATTGTTTTATATTATTTAATGTTATTATTTTTATAATATATTTATTGATATTATATTATATTGTTTTATATTATTTTATTGTTATATTATTTTTATACTAATATTCTATTCTATTTGTTTTTCTATTGTTTTATATTATTATATAATAAAACTGTTTTATATTACTATTATTATGTTATATTTTATTATAATATTACTATTATTATTATATTATTTTATTGTTTTATTGTTATAATTTTATTGTTATAATTATACTATTTTTAAAATTCTATTATTGTTGTGTTATTATTGTTTTATATAATAATGGTATTGTTATATTATTTTTATAGTAATATATTTATTGCATTTATTATATTATTATTGTTTATTATTATTATGTTACAATATTTTAAAAATTACATTATTGTACTATATTATTATTATTGTTGTTGTAGTATTATTATTAAGCCTCCCTTAGTTAGAAGGGGTTCTGTTCTTTATTGTATATTTTAGGGGAGGGAACCATAGGTAGCCCCATAGCCAGATCCAGCAGCTTTCTATGGGGAGCAAGGAAGCCGAACAGATTGCATATTTAGAAGTTGGTGTTACAAGTTGAAGAAACCCTGCCACAGGCGTATGGAAGCCAATGCAAGAAAAGACATAGAAGGGAGGCAGAAAGTAAGCAAGAACTACTGTTGAATAAAGTCTCCAACTTTTTCTGCAAATTTTAGTTGTTAGTCCTGGGAGGAGTTAGAATTTTGACTTCCATTACCTTATTAAATTCCTTAGTAACTTTTTACCTAAAACCTTCAGAAGAGACTCAAGGCACTCCTTCAAATCAGTCATGGAAATGAATTAATTTAAAACTACCTGAAATGGAGACCAGGCTCCTTCCTTCCTCTCTCGTTCTCTCCCTCTCCTTCTTCCTGCTCTTTTTCTCCCTCCATCCAGGCATTCTTGTGACCTTATGGGTCATTGACCGCATCGGGCGCAAGAAGACCATGGCTCTCTGCTTCTCCGTCTTTTCCTTCTGCAGTCTCCTGCTCTTTCTCTGCGTTGGGAGGTGAGCAAACGGTGCTGGCTTTGGGTCTCAGTGGCTCTCAGACCCAGTCTTGGAGAAAGGCAAAGGCCAACCTCCTCTTGCTCTATCCCACAAGGAAAACCCCATGGATAGGTGAACTGTGGGCAAAGGGACAGCCAGAAGAGTGGCCAGAACAGCCTTCATGTGTCCATCCCTGCTGGTTGCTGACCAAAGGGTGTCATGTTGAAATGACCCAGATCCCATTTCCCTTTTTGCGGACAGCCAATAATAAATCTCTGACATCCCAGTACCAATTAGTCACCAGATACAGGAGATCTTCATCAGTGAGTTTACTGATCAGATATACTTCACGGTGAGCTTTCACAAAAATGGGGTGCCACACCACACTTCAATCCAGCTTCTGTTTTTATAGACATTCTTAGCTTTCGTTTTCCTGAGAAACATTTCCCTTCTGTGCGTAGGAGCCATTTAAACATTCAACCATTACATCAGCATTGTTATTGCTGTGAGCATGCATATTCAGCCACATTGTGTCAGTGCTAGCTAATTAGCCTCCTAGTTTTTTCCATCGCCTATCAGAGATTTATGGCCTTTCTGTATCGACCAGTGCTTTGTAGTCATAGCAAAACAACTCATTAATCTGTTCCTTTGAAGTTTCTTGCAGGGTCAAGCTGACCCTTCTAGAGACTAACTTTTAGGTGCAGAGCAGGGATCAATATCAACTTGCATTATTGTTTAAGCTATTAGGCAGTTATCAATATGCACACAGTGCCGTTTACAAATCAAAGCAGTGGTTAATACACATTTGCAATATTGTTGAATACACTTGTTAAGCAGTTGCCATTAGCAAATATCACAGAAGTTATTATTAGCAAACATTGTTAAGCAAATGTCGTACATTTAAATTATTCCAACCTATGTCTCTTCAATCTTCCATTGCAGGAAAGTGCTGACTGTGCTGCTGTTTGTCGCCAGGGCCTTCATTTCGGGAGGGTTTCAAGCTGCTTACGTTTACACCCCGGAGGTAAGAAAAACACCGAGAGATGGTGAGAGGTTTGGGGGAATCCTTTCAAGTCCTGGCCTTCATGCTCTTAGGCGCAAAGGCCACAGGCTATATCAATGTGAAGGGGAAATCTTCAAGTTTTTTTCCACACTCATACATGCCACCCTAACGGGGCAATTGCCCAAGCGACCACCAGGCAGCACTCGCACGTCCAACAATGCAAAATGGCTACAATCCAGCAGGAGAAGGCGGTCTGTGTCCTACAGTTTCAAAGCATGAAATCCGTAGTTACCCTCTTGGCAGTAGGTACTGAAAAGCCTTCAGGAGATTTTTAAGACCCAACTGAGAGAATGTTGCGCCCCAGCCGTGGGACACCTTTTCACCCAGACACCACGCAGGGATGAGAGAATCCACTAAGGAAAGTTTATTAATAAAAATATAAAAGATAAGTAGCACAATCAAAAAGAACAATAAACAATCCAAAAGACAAATCCAGAGACTCCAAAGTTGTTGAATATAGGCGACAATCAGTTACAGGAATTAAACCACAAGAATTTAAAAAAAATGGAACTTGGAACTTCACTTGTGAGTCAATAGAGTGAAACAAGGCAAGCTCCATACACTTGATCAAAGATATATCCAGAACAAAACAGAGAATAAACCAGACCAAAAACCCTGAAGACATGATCAGGAATTAAAATCCAGGAACTTGAAACTTAAACAAGCAAACATGAACAAGACCCAATATCCAGAAATTTGAACACTTGAAGCAATGCCATAGAACTTAAGAGTTGTTCCCATTTGAAATGCAATGTTTTTCTCATAAAGAATGATCCACTTGGAGCACACTTAAAAGCCCTAATTCCTCTCATGACATCTTTTCTTGTACACCCAGTTCTTCTTTGCTTATCTTGAAGCCTCTGGCAAAAGCAAGTCTGTCTCTCTTTCACACTCTTGGGGCAGCCATATGGAACATCTTTGAGTATGGAAAAAAACACTTGGAAGACTCCCCCTCCACATTGATGTAGGTTTCATATGTGTGCGTTCACTAAAACGTTCACCATGAATTTTTGAAATCGGGGCATTCTTTTTTAATAAACCTGTATGATAATGATACAATGCCGATTGAGAATGATTTTGCTGAATCAAGTTAACGCTGCCCTGTGTTGGCAGGTTTACCCCACAGCCACCCGCGCCCTGGGCCTGGGGACCTGCAGTGGAGTGGCCCGAGTGGGTGCCCTGATCACCCCTTTCATTGCACAGGTAAAGCCCTCTCTATCCCTTTGGTATCTATCACTGTAAGAGAAGAACCCTTATTCTTATTTCTATTAATATTACTATTTACAACGGCTGGGTGGCACTCTGCTGGGGGTGCTTTGATGGTGCTTTCCCTGCATGAAGGCAGAATAAAGGAAGTTGGACTGGATGGCCCCTGGGGTTGCTCATATTATTATTATTACACACACACACATATAGAGAGAGAGTTAAATATTATATATAATTATTATTATTAGAATATATATATTATCATTATTCAATATATTATTATTACTAACTTATTAAATATTATATATTACTGTATATACTTGAGTATAAGCCTAGTTTTTCAGCCCTTTTTTTAGGCTGAAAAAGTCCCCCTCGGCTTATACTCGAGTCAAGGTTATTTATTATTTTCCTGTTATTATTTTATATTACATTTATTATTTTACTCTATTATTATTATTATTATTATTACATTTATTATTTTACTCTATTATTACTGGAAGGATACGTAAGCATATTTATTTATTTATTTATTTATTTATTTATTTATTTATTTGGCTTGTATACCGCTACTCCCAATTTGGGTTGAAGTGGTTTACAGCAGTAGATTAAAGCAATACAATTTACTTTAAAATACAATAAAAACAAGAACAGACATAGTCCCAAGTTATTCACCCATCGAAAGCTTGTCGGAAGAGAAAGATTTTACAGGCTTTCTGAAAAGCAAGTAGGTCTCGGATAGTTCGGGTTTCAACTGGCAAGGCATTCCATTAATAAGGGGCTACTATTGAGAAGGCTCTCTGCCTAGTAGAGGACAGATGATAAGTCCGGATGTTGGGGACTTCAAGCAAATTTTGGTCTTCGGACTGAAGTAATCTCTGGGGTTGGTAGGGGGATAAGCGGGCCCTCAGGTACGCTGGCCCCAGACCATATAAGGCCTTAAAGGTTAATATATTTACATTGAAGAAGGTTAGAATAATGGTTTAATCAGAGTTAGGCAGTCTTAAATTACAGTTTTATGTAAATATTTAATCTACTGATGCCTCAATTAATGTAATTTTATTAGTATCTATTTTTATTTTGAAATTTACCACTAGATGCTGCAATTCCCATCCTCGGCTTATACTCAAATCAGTATGTTTTCCCAGTTTTTTCTGATAAAATTAAGTGCCTCGGTTTATATTCGGGTCGGCTTATGCTCAGGTATATACGGTATATATCATTAAATAGTAAATATATGTTATTAGTCTTATTAAATGCTATATATTGATGATGATGATGATTATTATTATTAGAAAGTCTGGAAGGCCACCTGTTTGTGGTGCTTTGATTGCGATTTCCCTGCATGAAGACAGAATAAAAGGGGGCATGTCTTCCACTGAAATACTGTTATAGTACATGAAATAACTCCTCTTCCTGTTTCTCCCGGCAGGTTATGCTGGAGTCATCAGCCTACCTGACACTGCTGGTGTACAGCGGCTGCTGCCTGCTGGCCGCCCTGGCTGCCTGCTTGCTGCCCATTGAAACACAGGGCCGTGGCTTGCAGGAGTCCTCACACCGCCAGTGGGGCCAGGAGATGCTTGGCCGCGGGCTGCCCCGCTCCAGCCCGGGCTCCCAGGGGTGATGGGGCATGTGTGTGTGCGTGTGTGCGCTGCCCGCTTGTACGGGAGCAAGGCACCGCTCAGCCAGGTGTAAGCAAGGTCTGTGTCCCGACTAGAGGCCATGTGTGAGACCGGTGGCATTTATACATGCGGCCCTAGGCACTTACGATTTCATCACATTGAGAGGGGAAAGCACGGGTGGCCGTCCCTTTCAGCGTAGAGAACTGCCCCTCCTACATCAGCCGTCCCACTTTCGTTCTGCCTGTCCATCACACTCACTCACACCTGGAAACCTAAGAGCTGGCAATGGGTTAATCTTACATTCATCACAAGGTCAGCAGTGATCCAAGTTAGAACCATTGCTTCCCATGGGATCCTATTGATCTGCATTGAACCCCATAGGATACAAGAGACTGTTGACAGTTGGCCAATGAAATAGGATGGGAAAGGCTTCTGACTCAGTTATCCATATCCAAAGGGAGCCAGCTTGTCTCGATGCACTGCATGCTGTTGCGTCACATGCACTCGTGAACAGCTCTCTGTGCTCACAAAGCACCTCTGTCTTTTGTTGAGTTCAATTTTGCTGCTTGAGGAGGGTTAGAAAACAGAACGGCAACGGCCGGTATTTCAAGCTTGAAATATGGTTGGGTTTGTTGAACCTGCCACACATCCTCCGCGAGCAAACTTGGGATTCCATTTTGCTTTGTCGCTTTTATGAAATGATCTCAGACCATATCGCATAGCCTTCCTGATTCAGAGAAGCCCCGTGATGAAAAATAAGGGATATTCCAATTGAATTGCACTTGATTTCAAACTGATTGCTCTTGACATCAATTGAGTTGTGTGAAGAGTGGCTGGAAATCTCCCTGGCCCTTTTTATCAACCCATTCGAAGAAGGTGCTGGAGGAGTGATGATGCAAAATACATTGCACATTTAAGAAGTTGAGCAGTTGGTATTACAAGCTAAACCTTGTCACCAGTTCATAGAAAACAAGGAAGACGCAGAAATAAGACCAAAGTAAGCCAAGACCACAATTAAATTCCTTGTTAAACATTCACCTGTACAAATCAACTCTGTTCCTGGTGAGATTAGTATGGGATGTATGCAGACAATCTGGTTCTCACCTCCCTCTCTTGATTGGGTCTTAGGTTGTGCCGAGAATCATCACTGTATATAACAATCACCGGCAAAGATTTTGCAGTTCATTGTATCCCTTGGGATGAAGTATTATTATTTATTTATTTTATTCTTATTTATTTATTTATTATAAAAGTACAGTTGAGTCTTTTGGGATTGGACTTCACCACGGCATTTGATGACGGGAAAGAGCTTCTCCACATTGTGAAGGATGCTCTTGGTGTTCCTCCTCCGCGCTTGCCAGAAAACAAACAACGAACGCTTGAATGTCTCTACTGTGTTTGAATGTACAATTTCTCAAGTGTTCCTGTTGAAGGTGAGGTTTCTGTATTACTGCTGAGTTTGTCGTAATTTATTCTTCAATGTCTTCGTCCGATGAGACAACCATTTGGACGCTGGATTCCGCACCTGATATTTTATGTTGAATAAAGGAATAGTTTTTACAAGAGTTGGCTTTTGACAGAAGTGTCTCTTGTACCAAATTAATTCTCTCTCCAAATCATCCGTGGGTACCTACCCATCATCCCCACCTTGCATGCCTAGGGGCTCCTCCAGCTGAGGATGATGGGAGCTGTTCCAACATATCCTAAGGGAAGCAATAGATTACAGTGCGATCCCTGTATCCATGGTAGATGCAAAGTACCCCTATGGATACCAAAACCATGCACTATATTTTTGTGTTGTCGAAGGTTGTCTTGGCTGGAATCACTGTGTTGCTGTGAGATTTTCAGGCTGTATGGCCATGTTCCAGTAGCATTCTTTCCTAGAAACAGGGTGCCTCCAGGCAACAAAGGATAGGCTACCTTTATGCAACTAGTTGACTTTTCAGCTGCATGGCTACTCATGCTATTTAACCTTGTGCAACATTCACACTTGCTTCACACAGACATTGATTCTTCCATCCACAGATATATATACACTCCACTTGCTTCACCTCCAATAGAACCTCTCAAGATGCCATTAGCCACAGATGCCGGTGAAACATTAGGAGAGTATGCTACTGAAAAATGGCCATACAGCCCGGAAAACTCACAGCAACCTAATGATTCCGGGCATGAAACCCTTTGACAACACATACATACACTCCACTTGCCTCACTTCTAACAGACCTCTCAAGATGCCAGCCATAAATGCAGGCCAAACGTTAGGAATGGCCATACAGCCCAGAAAACCCACAACAACCCACTATGCTTTTAGTATGGCAGACCATTGAAGCATTTACCAAAATTTCGGGGGCACCACAAAGGACCTCAGAGGTTGGATCGGGACGCTTTTATCACCGTCTTGCCGTTCAGGATGTTCCCAAACAAGCGGGCAGCCTCCATGGCACAGCCCCAGTGGATGGTGAGCCCGAAGCCTCCGTGGCCGTAGTTGTGGATGACCTGGAAAGGAAAGGAAAGATCATCATTCTCTGAACTCCCATACGGGCAAATGGAGGCACACATAAGACAAACGTCTTCCTACCTCGGATGTTGATGTTCCATGGCGAACCATCTCGTGCTCCAAGCGAACCTTTGTCCGCACCGGGCGAAACCCATTCCATTCGCTGAGGATCTTGGCTTTCTGGAAATCATAGCATTTTCTCAGTCTTGGAACAGTTACACATTTGAGAACAGTTCTTGTTAAATATTATATATTCTTAAATATTATCAAACTATTATTATTATTATTATTATTATTATTATTATTATTATTATATAATACTAAAGAACCCTCTGGTAATGCAGCAGGTTAAACCGCTGATCTGCTGAACTTGCTGACCAAAAAGTCAGCAGTTTGAATCCAGGGAGTGGGGGTGAGCTTCCGATGTTAGTCCTAGCTTCTGCCAACCTAGCAGTTCGAAACATTCAAATGTGAGTATATTGATAGGTACTGCTTTGGTGGGAAAATAATGACACTCCATGCAGTCATGCCGGCCACATGACCTTGGAGACCTCTAGAGAAAACACTGGCTCTTCAGCTTAGAAATGGAGATAAGCACCATCCCCCAGAGATGGACATGACGACTTAATGTCAAGGGGAAACCTTTACCTTTTATTATTATCAAATCTATTATTATTACATATCGTATATCATTAAATATATTATTATTAAGCATTTGTTATATATTATTAAACCTAGTATTATATATTATTTATTATATAATATTAAATCTATTGCTAAATATTATATATTATTAAATATATTATTAAACATATTAAATCTATTATGTATTATTAAATGTTATATTATTATTATTATTGCAACAAACAACAAACTTTATTTATATCCTGTCCCATCCCCCCTTGGGGACTTGGGGGCTCATAACATTAATGGCAACCATCAGATGCCACACAAATACGTAATACAAATGTAAATAATAGTACAGTAGAATCTCACTTATCCAACCTTCTCTCATCCAATGTTCTGTATTATACAGAACCAGCTCCACAGCTGTTTCAATACATTGCGATGTTTTGGTGCTAAATTCGTAAATACAGAAATTACTACATAACGTTACAGTGTATTGAACTGCTTTTTCTTGATTTGTTGTAAAACATGATGTTTTAGTGCTTATTTTGTAAAATCATAACATAATTTGACATTTAATAGGCTTTTCCTTAATCCTTAAAACATTTTTGCTTATCCAACGTTCTGCCAGCCCATTTATGTTGGATAAGTGAGACTTTACTTAGCAGAAGGGAGATGGACTGGGTGGCCCCTGGGGTTGCTATTATTATTATTATTATTATTATTATTATTATTATTATTATTATTAAATATGTGTGTGTGTGTGTTATTAAATAAATGTTGTCATTATTATTATTATTATTATTATTATTATTATTATTATTAGAAATGTGGATGGCCATCTGTTGGGGTGCTTTGATTGTGCTTTTCTGACTGGATGGCCTCTGGGGCTTTTCCACTGAAATACTGTTAAGTTTATGTTGGTCAAAAAGTTTGCCCATGCCTGATATATATATACATTATATATAATATAATATAATATATCAACATGTCTTGGGGCTCCAAAAGAAACTTGCTTCACAAAGGCTCTGTGGCTGAAAAAAATTGAGAAGCCCTGCCCTTGTGTGATGAGGACCTAAGCCTTTCTCCAACCAGAAGGAGGATAGGGAATCCGTATGAAGAGGAATGAGAAGAAGCCAGTGGGATCCTTCCCAGGTGTCCCGACATGCTGGATTACAAACACCACCATTCTTGGATGATGGGGCAAAGGTTCATCTGAGAAGAATGTAGATGTGCTGAAGGGCAGTTTGTGTGTGCCTAAGCCCCACTTCTGATGGGGCAGAGGGCTATTCTCTTGATTCGGTCCCCAAACGTCATTTGGAGGATTTGGGTTTGATGGCTCTACCTGAAGGCTGGGCATTAGCTTGCAGCAACTTTGCCAGATGTATTGACGGTCCACCGGGCTGTTCTCATGGCTCCAGTTTCCCAGCTGGAAGATGCCACCCAAGGTCACCGTGTTGCTCCTAATACCAAACACAGAAGGAAGACAGGGAATCCATATGAGAAGGAATGGGAGGAAGCCAGTGGGATCCTTCCCAGGTACCCTCCTGTTTGCTGTTGGCTTCCTACTTCATGGTTTATCTATGAGTCTCTTTGGCCAACCCATTTGACACACTGTGGAGGAATGGGAGGAAGCCAATGGGATTCTTTCCAGATACACTCTGGTTTGCCATTGCCTTACTATTTCAAGGTTTATCTATAGGTCTGTTGGGCTAACCCATTTGACACAATGAGGAGCAATGGGAGGAAGCCAGTGGGATCCTTTCCAGATACACTCCGGTTTGCTGTTGGTTTACCGCTTCAAAGTGTATTTATGGGTCTGTTGGGCCAACCCATTTAGTGGACCCTTTCCAACTATTCTATTATTATAATTATTATTATTATTATTATTATAATTATTATTATATTTATAGAATGCGAGTCAGTCTACATGATCTTTAGGGGACCTCTTCCAACTCTTATTATAATATTAAATTACATTATATTTATATTTATTGAATGGGAGTCAGTCTAGGTGACCTTTAGGGACCTTTCCAACTTTATTATAATTACTTATTGATGAGAGAATGGGAGACAGCAATAATAATAATAATAACATATTTGTACCCCGCTACCATCTCCCCAAGGGACTCGGTGCGGCTTACATGAGGCCGAGCCCAAACACAACAATACAAGCAATAACAACACAGTACAAGCAATTAAAAACACATAGATGACCTTTAGGGAACCCCTTCCAACTCTATATTATATTTATAGAATGTGAGTCAGTCTGGATGACCTTTAGGGTATCCCTTCCAACTCTGTTGTTGCTATTATTATTATTATTATTATTATTATTATTATTATTATTATTATTTATTCATAGGAGAATGGGAAGTCTCCGCTTCCCTGGAGAGCTGGCTATGGCTGGGAGGCTGATTTCAAGGCAGCTGCAAGACAAAACATTTCCCCTTGTACAACCCCTATGGTGTCTTCCCACTCCAACACCCTCCACAGGTTTCTCCTCACCCAGGGATGACGTATGGGGTGGTGTAGACTTCGGATTCCCGGTGAGTGATGATGAAATGCTTGACCCAGGGAGCCTCCACCTGACAAACCAAAACAGAGGTGACACTAGCATCAGTGGAGCCCACTGGCATTTGCAGAAATCCATTTTTTCATATTACTCTTGCTTCTCTAATTTGGGCCTGTCAGAGAAACTGTCTTCTATGCTCCACCAGTGTAAATAAGATGGGAGCCGACCCTTCTTGGGGTCCCCTCAGGGAGAGAAGGAGGTATAGAAGTAAAGTTTTTAATTATTATTATTCTCTTCTTTATGGAACGTCTACCCCTTGGAGGCCCAACAGGCACCAATGTTGACCTCTTTTCAGTGCCAGGTCAAAATATTTATGCTTTTCTAGAACTAACTTCCACCAGGTGAAGAGGAGCAACCACATCCCACCTCACAACCAGAACTCACCTTGATGATTTGCCCACGGCCTGGGCACAGCTCAGGATCCGGCTGCAGTTCTCCGGCCCGAATCCCCGTGCAGTTGATAATGACATCAACGCCTTGAGCTGTCAACTGACCACAAATCAAGTTGGAGGCAGTGTCCTTCTCTCTTACCCTCCCTTCACTCAGACTTTGCTCTTGGGATTCCTTTTAGCAAAGGGTCTCAAAGCCCACCCTCTCCATCCAAGGGTGGTCCTCCCAATGGGATTGGATTACAAGTCAAAGCATTATCAGTCACCATGGTTTGAAGCTCAAGATATCACCTCACAATCCAAACAGCAGATTATCCTTGTCCAAGGGAGTTGAAGCATTGCAAAGGCAGGCCTACCCTTAAATATATTCCTGGCCTTGTTTCCCAATTAAGATCAGGAACAGAGATTATAAACATAATTTTATTTCTGCAGACGCAAAACCCACCTGAGGGGGGTATATAATGCCAGAATAATACCACACCCATTGGCAAAACAGAGCCTCTTTTATACATATTCAAACAGGCACACATTGCACTCTAACACAGGGTTCAGGTCCCTGTTTGGGTTCAGGCCTTCCTTTAAATATATTCCCTGGCCTTGTTTCCCAATTAAGGTCAGGAATGGAGTTTTATTTCTGCATAAGTGGGTCTCTGTAATGTCAGGATAAGGCCACACTGAAGTTCTAAAGTCTAGCCTCTTTTCTACAAGTTTCTCTTGGTCACTTGAACGTTGCTCACTCCACCCCACTCTGTTTTCACCTGACTGATAAGCCTTTGCAGTCTCCATGCTGTAACTACTTCCCAAACTAACCTCCTGGAAGGACTGGATTTTCCGATGGAAGAACTTGACTCCCCGTAGCTTCAGCCTTGAACAGAAATAATAATAGTAGTAGTAGTAGTTTAATTTCTAACCTCTCTTCAAGGCTCGATATGAGAGCCTGTCAAGCAACAGAGCAAGTCGTGGAATTTGATCGAACCACGGAAGTTGGGTTCGGTTCCTTTGGAGGCAAGGCGAGTCTCAAGATGTCATATTGAAGAGACATAGGTTGGAATAATTGAATTTTGTGATATTTGCTAATAATAACTGTTTAACAAGTGTGCTTAACAATAATTGCATAATGTGTATTAATCACTACTTTGATTTGCTTAACAACAACACCATGTGGATAATTGCCCAATAGCTTAACAATAATGCAAATTGATATTGATCACTGTTCTGCACCATTGTTCTGTGCTTCACCAAAAGTTAGACCCTGCATGGAACTTCAAAAGGACAGGATTAACTAGTTGTTTTGCTAAAGACTTCAGAGCTCAGCACAGGGTAAAGTGGTAGGGAGTAAAACTGGTTGACATGGCAAGGCCATAAATCTTCTCAAAGGCGATGGGAATAAACAAGGAGGCTAATTAGCTAGCATTGACAAAATGGGTTTCAATATGCATGCTCCAGAAAAAAAGATGGCTTTATGGCGTTTCTCCAAGAAATTAAAGTTACATTGTCTATAAAGACAGAAGCTGGATTGAGGAGTGGCGTGGCACTTCATTTGTTTGTAAAGCTGACAGTGCATTTATCTGATCAAATAAACTCACGATAATGGAGATCTCCTGTCTCTAGTGATTATTTTGGAACTTAGATACTAGAGATCGGGGTAATTTCAATACTTAAAGAAGGTCATCATGACATATCTCTAATGTTACCTCCAAGCTCAATGTACTCGGATCACTAAGCCTCGCAGAACGGGGTGTTTTCCAAACGTGTTACTGCCTGTGAATGAATATCCATACTTACATACCTGTTTGTAAGCCATGGTAAGTAGCTTTTACCCTCCAGGATCAGGGCTGTGTTAAACCAGCCATAGCTGAAATCAGAAGAAAAAGGGGGGAAATGCAATTGTGTTTCTGGGGGCAGAGTGGGGATGATATATAATGATAATAATAATATAATAATACAATGACATAATATAATATAGTATGATGATAATAAAATTAATATCCTTTAATATAATTGTCAGCACATGGTTTTATATGAGGTGAAAAAATTGCTTATAGTTTAAACTGTGTGGTTAAGTAATGCATGAGTTAATACACAGAGATGTGATGTACTGCTAGAGTGTAACAATACATCACAACTGTTCCTGTGCTGGCCAGATGCTGAAGAACTGATAAGATTGGAATGTGCTTCTTGCGGTGTGTCTAGATGTGAGCGAAAGTGATTGATTATTCTCTTACGTGTATATAGTGTATATTTGGAATAATGTTAAGTGCTGCTTTGTTTTGAAAGCTGAACTAAGGAGTCCAGTATTGTTTGTATTTTCCAGGCAGATGCCTGAAAGATTGAGATAAGAGAGGTAACTTAGCTCAATTCAACAACAAGGGTTATGGGCCCAGCATGCTTCTGCTGCGCAACTCTTAACATAATATTTATTTATTTATTTATTTATTTATTTGATACACTTGTATACCGTTAATATCTCAGCCTAGAACGGCGACTCATTGCGGTTTACAGCAGTTAAAACAATCTACAATTTAAAAACATATACACATATAATAACAAATTCAATAACAAATTATTGGGCCACCAATAATAATCCCATATATCTCGAGTTGAAATCGCAATCCAGAATTCGTTGTCCATGTTTCCTGTCCTTAGTCATCAATATTCGAATTGCCACAGATTAGCCGAATGCTTGTTTGAACAGCCAAGTTTTGAGTCTCTTCCTAAACACCATCAGCGAAGAGGCTGATCGTACCTCTATAGGGAGGGTGTTCCAAAGCCGGGGGGCCACCACAGAGAAGGCCCTGTCTCTCGTTCCCGCCAGCCGCACTTCTGAAGCTGGAGGGATAGAGAGAAGGGACTCTCCAGAAGATCTTAGGGTCCTGGTGGGCTGATAGGCTGAGATACGTTCGGATAGATAAGTTGGGCCAGAACCGTTTAGGGCTTTAAAGGCCAATGCCAGCACTTTGAATTGAGCCCGGTAGCATATCGGCAGCCAGTGGAGCTGGTTCAGCAAGGGAGTTGTATGCTCCCTGCACCCCGCTCCTGTTAGAATCATGGCTGCCGCCCGTTGGACTAACTGGAGCTTCCGGACTGTCTTCAAAGGCAGCCCCCACGTAGAGAGCGTTGCAGTAGTCAAGGCGGGATGTAACCAGAGCGTGGACCACCGTGGCCAAGTCAGACTTCCCAAGGTACGGTCGCAGTTGGCGCACAAGTTTTAACTGTGCGAAGGCTCCCCTGGTCACCGCCGAAACCTGGGGTTCCAGGCTCAGCGATGAATCCAGGATCCCCCCCAAACTGCGAACCTGTGTCTTCAGGGGGAGTGCGACCCCGTCTAACACAGGCTGTAAACCTATACCCTGTTCGGCCTTACGACTAACCAGGAGTACCTCTGTCTTGTCTGGATTCAATTTCAATTTGTTCGCCCCCATCCAGACCGTCACAGCGGCCAAGCACCGGTTCAGGACCTCGACAGCCTCCTTAGTAGCAGGTGGAAAGGAGTGACAGAGTTGGACATCATCTGCGTACAGATGACACCGCACCCCGAAACTCCGGATGATCTCGCCCAGCGGCTTCATGTAGATGTTAAACAACATGGGGGACAGTATTGAACCCTGAGGAACCCCACAAAACAAGGGTGGGGTTGAACAGGAGTCTCCCCATAACACCATCTGGGACCGACTCTCGAGGAATGAGCGGAGCCACTGCAAAACAGTACCTCCAAGACCCATCCCCGCGAGGCGTCCCAGAAGGATACCGTGGTCGACGGTATCGAAGGCCGCTGAGAGGTCGAGCAGCACCAACAGGGACACACTCCCCCTGTCGAGCTCCCGACGCAGATCATCCACTAAGGCGACCAAGGCTGTCTCGGTACCATGCCCCGGCCTAAAGCCAGACTGTGCCGGGTCTAGATAATCCGTGTCTACCAAGAATGCCTGGAGTTGTGAGGCCACCACACGTTCCATGACTTTGCCCAAGAAGGGGAGATTGGAAACAGGCCGATAGTTGACGAATTGAGTGGGGTCCAGTGATGGTTTCTTCAACAGCGGTTTTATTACAGCTTGCTTTAAGCTGGCTGGAATTTTGCCTTCCCGAAGGGAGGCATTAACCACCACCTTTATCCACTCGGCCAATCCCCCTCTGGCCTCATTTAGAAGCCAGGATGGGCAGGGGTCTAGGATGCATGTGGTAGCTCTCATTCCTCCAAGCACCTTGTCCACATCCTTGTCCACATTGAAATGAATCCATCAAAATCGGACAAGCAGGTGCTCGGGTACATCCTCAGATACTGCCGTTAATATGGTATCCAGTCCAGAGCGGATCAAAGCGACTTTGTCTGCGAAGAACCGAGCAAAAGCTTCGCAGCGAGCCGCCGAGTCATCAGGGCACCCGTCCTGAGTGGTGGGTTTTAATAAGCCTCTGACAACTCGGAACAGTTCAGCCGGACGGTTCTTCGCAGACGCAATAGTGGCCGCGAAGAAAATTTTCTTTGCGGCCTTTATTGCCGCGGCATATGCCCTTAAAAAGGACACAAACCGTGTTCGGTTTGGCTCGCTCGGATCCGAACGCCACACGCCTCTAGTTCCCTCTTCTTTCGCTTCATCGCTGCCAGCTCCTCAGTGAACCAAGGAGCTGGTTTGGTTCGGCTACTTGAGAGGGGACGTTCTGGAGCGATCGTGTCTATTGCCCTAGTCATCTCCCCATTCCAGAGAGCGACCAGGGCATCAACAGGATCACCAACCGCGGTGGCGGGAAATCCCCAAGAGCCATCAGGAAACCATCCGGATCCATAAGCCTCCTAGGGCGGACCAATTTAATGGGTCCTCCACCTCTGCGGAGGTTAGGGGGTGCAGCAAGTCTAAAACTGACCAGGTGGTGGTCGGTCCATGGCAACGGAGAGATGGATAACTCCTCAACACCACCACCTTCCTCCCATCCCTGACAGAAAACCAAGTCCAATGTATGTCCAGCACTGTGGGTGGGGCCAGATACTTGTTGGGACAGCCCCATGGTTGCCATGGTAGACATGAAGTCCTGAGCCGCTCCCGATGAGGCGGACTCGGCGTGGATATTGAAGTCCCCCAGCACAAGCAGCCGTTGGGACTCCAACACCAGGTCCGAGACCACCCCCGCTAGCTCAGTCAGGGAGTCTGTAGTGCAGCGAGGTGGACGGTACACTAACAGAATCCCTAATCTGTCCCGGTCTCCCACCCTCAGGTGGACGCATTCAAATTTTGTTGACTGCGGGATGGGGGCCCTGGTCAGATGCATTCAAAATTTGTTGACTGTGGGATGGGGGCCCTGGTCAGAAGAATGGAATCTCTATAGACCACTGCAACTCCGCCTCCCCGCCCTCCGGATCTCGGTTGGTGCTGCACAGAGAAACCTGGTGGGCAAAGCTGGGTTAAATTTACACCTCCTGCTTCGTCCAACCAGGTCTCTGTGATGCACGCCAGATCTGCCCGTTCATCCAGGATTAAATCTTGGATGAAAGTTGTTTTACTGTTGACAGATCTGGCGTTCAACAGCACCACTTTCAATCCGGAGGATTGAATATAATATGATAATAATATATGATAATATATAATAATATAACATAATATAATAACATCATAATATCTCCGAACGTATTCTCCCCTACGAACCATCAAGATTACTAAGATCATCTGGAGAGGCCCTGCTCTCGGTCCCACCAGCCTCGCAAGCGCGGCTGGTGGGGACGAGGGACAGGGCCTTCTCGGTGGTGGCCCCACGACTCTGGAACTCTCTCCCTCTGGAGGCCAGAACCGCCCCATCCATCCTAACATTTAGGAAACGGGTGAAGATGTCGCTGTGGAGTCAGGCCTTCGAGGAATGAGACAACACCATAGGACTTTGGATGGAAGTGGATATAGATCCATCTTATTAGGACGACTGACCACTGTAGTTTTATATTTAGTGTTTTTAAAGTTGTTTTGTAATTTGTGATATATGATATTTTAATGAATGTATATGTTTTTATGGCTGTAAACCGGGCTGAGTCCCTCAACGAGGTTGAGAAGCTCGGTATACAAAACTGTGAAATAAATAAATAAATAATATAGTATGATGATAATATTATATTGTAGTATGATGATAATAATATATAATAATATAACATAATATAATATAGTATTATGAAGCTGTAATTTATATTAACGGTCGAGTGGTTAAGGAGGATTCTGCCTGGCAAGCATTGACACTCACACAACCAAGATGCTAGATTAGAAGCATGGCTCATAAAAATCTCATCAGCATAACCATTTTGGCAGTTTCCCCCCAAAAATAGCACGAGTATGCTGATGAGCTTTTTATGAGCTCTAGTGTCCCGTACTATATATATATAGAGAGAGAGAGAGAGAGAGAGACTAAAACAAACATATCATGACATGATTAAACCATATAAGAATCCTGCCTGAATCCTGAAGTGTTACTTCTGTCCTCATCTCTCTAGTATTGCAGAGAATTGGACCTTGAAAGTTATTCACAAAGGCATCCGGAATTGAAAAAGGAACGGGAATGGCTCCAGACCTGGGGAGAGGCAAGATGGCGCCAGCATGATTGGAGGCATTTTTACGAGCTTTGGTATCTTTGTTTTTCCTACTACTTAGAATCATAGAATCTTTTGAAAAACGGAGCAGAAAACACAGTAGGACAAGCCCTGAGTCAACTAGACACCACATGGCTTCTAAACAACTCAGGATAGATAAATTATTCAGGGAAGGAACTGACTTAAACACACTATAACACACTGTTTGAAATTACTATGAACAACAACAAGAGTTCCTCATGATAAGGTTAATGAACCTCCTCTATCAGAAACCTTTGATAACAGGAGAATATGGTGTCCAGAAATGCGTCTCGGGGCTCTTCAATAATACCTATCAAGGAACTACAGAAACAAAACGGCAATAGGATCTTATGAGCAAACCAAACAATACTGCAAACAGCCCACATTGGAATCAATAACGGTTCCAGACCTGTAGCCAGGAAAGAGTTCCAGCTCCTTTGGGGACAAATGCCGGAATCCCAAGACGATTTCTTTCCATGATGGCTCCTATGGGGAAAAGGAGCATTCTATTTAACCTCAACCTGATCTATTGATAGCTATCCCTTCCTGTGTAACTTTTATCCTTTTATATCATGCATCTATTTACCAAATCTGGAATGTATACACTGTACTTTTATTCTGCCTTATTCTTAAATGTACTAAATATATGAAAAACTAAACTGCTTGACCCAAGCCAAGGGTCACCCATCATGAATGCATCCTCAGCCTCAGGCAACAGCTCCACTGCAGTCACCTCAATGGACTTCCTGAAGATTCTCCTTTGTTTATTTGGGGGGGGGGGGGCATTTGTCTGTTTCCAGGAGCCTCTATCCTATGTCTTTGCTCCACTGGCAAGTATTTAACCTGGAACTTTGGTTATTAATTATTGTTAGCCATGCTCTCCAGGCAGTCCCCTCCCATTTTATTGTGGTCTAAATCTCATTATCAAAATAGCAAGAAAGGAGATTCTGCTTAAACATTAGAAAGAACTTATTGGGTGCAAAAGCTTTCTGACAGCAAAGCAGACTGCCTGTCTTGGAGGCCAATGGACTCTCTTTCTTTGGAGATAATTCCAAAGCGCTCATGTCAGTCTAGATGGCAATTGAGATCTCTACGATTTTATGAAATGTGACCTCAGCCTTATTTAATCTCTATCTTTATGTCTGTCTGTCTATCTACCTATATATCTATTTATCTATAATAAAAGTGAATGTATGTATGTATGTGGGTGCTTTCCTATTGGCTCCTACTTCCAGAGACTACCGTGACCCCCATGAATGACGGATCTGGACCAAAACTTGGCAAACAGACCCAACATGGCCAACTGTGGATACTGGTGGGGTTTAGGGCTGATTGACCTTGGAATTAAGAGAAATCTGAACCCAGCAGATGACAAATCTGGATCAAACGTCTCACACAGACCCAACATGGCCAACTGTGGATACAGGTGAGGCTTGGGGTAATCTTGGAATCAGGAGTTATAGTTCACCTGTATTCAGAGAACACTGAACCTAGCCATCAATGAATCTGGACCAAACTTGGCACACAGACTCAACATGACCAACTGTAGGTAACGGCAGGGTTTGGGGGTGACTGATATTGGAATCACTCATATTCAGAGAACACTGAACCCAGCTGTCGACAGATCTGGACCAAACTTGGTGCACAGACCCAAAATGGCCAACTGTGGATGTAGGCAGGATTTGATGAGGACTGACCCATGATTTTGGGAGCTGTAGTTCACCCACATCCTTATGAATTTTCTAATGGCAGCATTCATTAAAAAAGCAAAGACTGACCTTTTCTAATAAATAATGCTAAAAAACACACATTTTCTTCCAGTTTTGTTACCTACTGGAACTGGCTCTGTGAAGAGATTGTATCCCGAGATCAGAAACAAGCCCATCTCTTTGGCTTCAGGTGAGTTAAGATGCTGGAGCAGATAGTCAAAAGTCTCTTTGTTCCAGAAGCTTGAATAGGAAACAAGAGAAGATGAGGTGATGTAACCCCTTATCCCCAATCAAGGTAAAGGATTACACTGGAAATACATTGCAGGTGGATCAGAGATTGATGTCTGTATAATTGGGAATGAGTTGGGGGACTGTTGGGCTTTGAAGCCTCTGTTTCAGAGAAAGTAAAGGTAAAGGTAAAGGTAAAGGTTTCCCCTTGACATTAAGTCTAGTCGTATCCGACTCTGGAGGTGGTGCTCATCTCAATTTCTAAGCCGAAGAGCCAGCGTTGTCTGTAGACGCCTCCTAGGTCATTTGGCCAGCATGACTGCATAGAATGACGTTACCTTCCCGCTGAAGTGGTACCTAATAATCTATTAACATTTGCATGTCTTTGAACTGCTAAGCTGGCCGAAGCTGTGGCTAACAGTGAGAGCTAACTCCGCTCCCCGGATTCGAACCGCTAACCTTTTGGTCAGCAAGTTCAGCAGCTCAGCAAAAAGTAATAATGTAATAATGAGAACATAATAATAATTATAATAATAATATAATAAAATAATCAAAATATAATATAATATAATAATAATATAATGTAATAATAATACAATAAAATCATAATAACAATATAATAATAATGAGTGTTGGGCTTTGAAGCCTCTGCTTCAGAGAAAGTGCTGTAATAATGATAATAATAATCTAACTATAATAAAATAAAACAATAATATAATATTGTCATATAATAATATAATAACAATAATCGTATAATGTATATACTAATATAATAATAATAAGAAGAAAAAGAAGTGTTGGGCTTTGAAGCCTCTGCTTTAAAGACAGCTCTTTCGGACAAGGAAGCAAAATGCTTTTCAGTGGGCAAGTACTTGTTTTCAGAGTAATAAATAATAATACTGATATAATATAATAATAAAATATAATAATGAAATAAAATATAATATAATAACAATAATATTATAATAGCATTATAATAATATATATTAATAATATAGTAATACAACAACAACAACAATAATAGTTGCTTAAGAAAATGCAAGGTTTTTATAAGATGGGATGATGAGGCTCACACTAAGAGAAGTAGGAAGACTCCTAATAAATATAAATATAATAATAATAGAATTATTATGATAATTTAATAATATAATATAAAATAATATAATAATAACACAACAATAATATAATAATATAATACTGTAACAATTCAATATAACAATACCATAATATTATATTTTTAACTTTAACCATAATAACCATAATGTATTTTTAACTTTGCACGTACGTCTCTTGGATATTTCCCTTGTCGTCCACATAGGGCTGCCAGAGACCGGCTGCTCCGTCACTGGTGGTGTGTGGCGTGAAGGTGTCGGCATAGACCTCCACTTCCAGACCAGCTGAACTGTATTGTTCATGGATGCAGAGGGCTGTGGACAGACCTATGACCCCTGCTCCGACCACAGCGACACGCATGACAGGCTCTGGACTGGGAGAGAAGTCGCCTATGAGCATGTTTATGACTTTTGCTCACCCGTTATGTTATCTATTATGTCATCTATATTGCTGTGAGCATGAGTATTCAAACTTATTATGTCAGTGCTAGCACATTAGCTTCCTCGTTAGTTCCCATTGCCTATGGGAAGATTTATGGCCTTGCTGTCAACCAGTTTTACTCCCTACTACCTCACCACCTGCTGGAACTATAATGTTATCTATTACGTCATCTATTTATTGCTGTGACCATGGGTATTCAGACCCATTAAGTGCTAGCTCATTAGCCTCCTCATTCGCCTATGAGAAGATTTATGGCCTTGTTGTGTCAACCAGTTTTACTCCCTACTACCTAATCCTGTGCTGATATGTCACCTTTTATTGCTGTGAATAATGATGGATCTGGGCTAGTCTTGGCACACAGACCCAATATGGTGAAAAGAAGATACTGCAGGGGTTTGGGGGGAGTGGACCTTGAATTATGGGGGTTGTAGTTCGCCTACATCCAGAGAGCACTGAAAACCCAGACAACGATGGATCTGGACAAAACTTGGCACACAGATCTAACATGAACAGCTTTGAATACTGGTAGAATTTAGAGGAAATTGACCTTGACATTTGAGAGTTGTAGTTGCTGGGATTTATAGTTCACCTACAATCAAAGAGCACTCCGCACCCCACCAACAATGGAATTGGACCAAACTTGGCGCACAGAACTCCCATGAACCAACAGAAAATACTGAAGGGGTTTTGACCTTGAGTTTGGGAGTTGTAGTTCACCCACATCCGGAGAGCACAGTGAACCCAAACAATTATTAACTGAGACCAAACTTGGTACATAGACCTGATATACCCACATTTCAATACTGCTGAAGTTTAGAGGGAAATTTACGTGGCATTCTGGAAGCTGTAGTTCACTCACACCCTTATGCATTTTGTAATGGGAGCATTCATAAAAACACAAAAACACAGATTCACTTTTTCAAATGAAGAGTATTACAGCTTACCTAACTCGAAACGAATCGTGAAATCTGTGGACAAGTCTCTCGCTCGCTGCAGGCTTCCCTTTGGACTCTGCGAGTTGGGAATGAAACAAGCAAGGTCCAAATTCCACAAGAAAGGGAGGAGCAGAACTGGCACTGTTCCTGGCATTTTGCAATAATAATAATAATAATAATAATAATAATGGAAATAATATAATATAAAATGATGTAAGATAATGTCAAATAATATTATTATTATAGTAATATAATAATTATAATAATATATAAATTAATGTAAGATAATGTGTTGTTGATAATATATTATTATAATATATTATTATAGAATCCTGTATAATATCATATAATATAATATCCAATAATAATACTATCATTATAATAATAGAAATACTGTAATATAATATATTACAATGGAAATAATATAATATAAAATAAAATAATGTAAGAAAATGTCCAATGATAATATTATTATTAAAATAATAGTAATAAAATAACAATATAATACAAAATAATGTAAGAATATCTAATAATAATATTGTATTAAAATAATAGAAGTAGTCGTGTATTGTTATTATGGAAATAATAATATAAAATAAGAATATCCATATTATATTATCATTATACTATATCATTATATTATTATTATAATATATTATCACAGATCCCATATATAATATAATATTATTATAATATATTATCATAGATCCCATATATAATATAATATTATTATAATATATTATTATTTTATTATAATGTGACATATTTTATAGATAGATAATTCCTTAGATGCAGGCGAAATGTCAGGAGAGAATGCTTCTGGAACATGGCCCGAAAAAACTACAACAGCCCGAAAAACCTACAACTCAGATAATTCCTTTATACGATTTAAAATATATATAATATAATGTCCAATAATAATAATAATAATAATAATAATAATAATAATAATAATAATAATAATAATAATAAATGTTACTTCTTCTAGGAAGCAACTCGGATTTTTTCCCGAAAAAACCTACAACAACCTCGGATTTTTTCCTCCAATAGCGAAAAGGCGGAACGGTGAGTGCGAGGCCCGTGTTGTAGGACGGGCGTCATTCCGGCGGACTCCTTAGCAACGCAGGCAATGGTGGGAGGGCGGGGCCCGGTCGCTAGGGCGCCCCTCCGCCCACTCCGATTGGCCGCCCGCGCTAGTGCCGCGGCCTCTCCCTTCCCCCCGCGGCTGCAGCGGCTTTGGTTCCACCCTCGCGAAGGCCGGAAGCGAGGTGACGCAGGTCAGACGGCATGGCTGCGATTATTATTACTAATGCTATTACTATTATAATGACATTATATTATACTATATTATACTATAATGTTATTACGATATACCATTACTACTTTTATTATGTATTATACTGTATTATATTACTTGCTTGGGGACCTGGAGGTGCCCGGGTTATTTGAAAAAGGCATTGTTTATTTTGAGGGGTTAGGTAATATCATTTAGTTAATTAGTAACACTATTTGTTAGAAAAATGCCCGTTTTTGATCTTGTTTTTTTATGAATACTCCTATTAGAAAATACATAACGATGTGGGTGAACTACAATTCCCAGAATCGTGAGTCAATCCTCCCCAAACCAGGCCTGTATGCACAGCTGGATATGTTGGGTCCGTGTGCCAAGTGTGGCCCAGAGCCGACGTTGGCTGGGTTCAGTGCTCTCTGGATGCCGGTGAACTACAACTCCCAAAATCAAGGTCCATTCCCACAAAGCCCTTCAGTAGGTTCAGTTGGTCATGGGCCATCTGTGTGCCAAGTTTGGTCCTAGTCCACTGTTGGTGGGGGTCACAGTATCTCTGCAGGTGAACTACAACTTCCAGTTCCCCAGAGTAATCACCCCCAAACTCCGCCTATATTCACAGTTGGGCATGTGGAGTTTGTGTGTCAAGTTTGATCCAGATCTGTTATTGATGGAGTTCAGAGTGCAGGGTGAATGATTTGAATGCGATTTTCCTGGCAGAGGGTTAGACTGGATGGCCTACGAGGTCTCTTCCAACTCTGATTCTATGACTCTATGAACTACAACTCCCATGCAGGTGGGTCATCCCCCCCACAAACACCTCCAGTATATTCTGTTGGTCATCAGGGTTCTTTGTGTAACATGTGTTCCAGATCTGCCATTGGGGACTTCAGAATACTCTCTGGATGCAGGGTGAACTGTAACTCCCACGTGGGTGGGTTAGTTGTCCACCAAACACTTCCAGTATGTTGTGTTGGTCACCATGGTTGTGTCCCATGCTTGGTCGAGATCTGCCATTGGTGGGGTTCAGAGTGCTCTGGGTACAGGGTGAACTACAACTCCCATGCGGGTGGACCAGTTCCCCAAACCCCTCCAGTATGTTCTGTTGGTCATGGGAGTTTTGTGTCCCAAGTTTGGTCCAGGACCGTCATCTGTGAGGGTCGCAGTGGTTTCTGGAAGTGTAGATACTGAAGTTCCCATCGTCCCTGGACCATCCTCTCCCCAAACTCACCAAAATGTAAAGTACATCATGGAGAGTCCGTGTGGCAATTTTGGTCCAGGTTCATAATTTGTGGGGCCCGTAGTAGTCTCTGGATGTGGATGAAAGCACTGCAAAGCCCATCATTTGTGGTACATCCTTCCGCAAACCACACCAGGATATAAAATGGGTCATGGGAGGTCTGTGTGCCAAGTTTGGTCCAGGTCCATCATTGGTGGAGATCACCGTTTCTCTGGTTGTGGGTGAAGTACAACTCCCAGAAAAGAAGGTCAGTTCCCCCCAAACCCCTCCAGTAATTAAATTTCAGCATATCAGGAATGTTTGACAAGTTTGGTCCAGATCCATTGATGTTTGGGTTCACAGTGCTCTCTGCATGTAGGTGAACTACAACTCCCCCAAATTGAGATGAATTTTCCCCAAATACTTCCAATATTTTTGCTGGTCATGGGAGCTCTGTGTGCCAACTTTGGTCCAATTCCATCTTTGGTGGAGTTCAGAGTGCTCATTGTATGCATTAATCTCAGTACCTATAACTCTAAAATGTCGTGGCCATTTCCTCTCAAAACCCACCAGTATTCAAATTTTGGCATATCAGGTATGCATGCCAAGTTTGGTCCAGATCCATCATAGTTTGGGTTGATAGTGTGCCCTGAATGTAGGTGAACTAAAGGTAAAGGTTTCCCCTGACATTAAGTATAGTTGAGTCAGACTCTTGGGAATGTGCTCATCTCAATTTCTAAGCCAAAGAGCCGGTGTTATCCGTAGACGCCCTCAAGGTCATGTGGCTGGCATAACTGCATGGAGCACGGTTACCTTCCTGCCAAGGTGGTACCTATTGATCTACTCACATTTGCATATTTTTGGACTGCTAGGTTGGCGGAAGTTGGGCCTAACAGTGGAAGCTCACCCAGCTCCCCAACCTTTTGGTCAGTAAGTTCACTCAGTGGTTTAACTTGCACCACCAAGGGGCTCTGTAGATGAACTACAACTCCTATTTTTAAAAAATCCCTCCAAAGACCTCCAGTATTTGTTGTTCCTCATGGGGGTTCTGTGTGCCAAGTTAGTTCAAGGTCCATTGTTGGTGGAGTTCAGAGTTCTCATTGATTACACATGAACTATATATCCCAGGACTTACAACTCCTATAAATCAAGGTGAATTCCCCCCAAACCTCTCCAGTATGTTTCATTGCTGATCAATTCCTCTGTTTGCTGTGTGCCAGGGAAAATTCGAATCTAGATTTTATTCTGGCATGCTGGTGTGGAATTAGAAAAGGCTAAGGAAGAGGCAGTGGGTGGGGTCATGCCAATTCCACACCAGCATGCCAGAATAAAATCTAGGATCGAATTTTCCCTTCACTTGGTTGGTGAGCAGTATGGTGTTTGTGGAGGACATTGACAGGGCTCTTGTACATGTTCATGGTGCTCATTATAACCTGCAATGTCATTGGGGGAGGGGGGGCTTTTGTGGCTCCTCATTGGTTGGTTTGTTGTAGTGGGAGCCTGTCTGTGTAAGTAGCAGTCCAGCCACATGTACACATACATATTTTCACTTTTATTATGTGTATAGATTATTATTATACAATAATATAAGATAGTATAATAGTAATATGTCACAGAATAATAATATAATATTATATTGTGTTATTATATAGAATCCTATTTTATTATTATAGAATCCTTTATTATTATTATTATTATTATTATTAATCTTCTTCCTGCTTCTTGATAGGGGGATGCATGGTTGGACACTGCTTGGAGGTGTGGCGGCCGCTGTGGTTGCCGGCTTGTACGTCCTTTGGGGCCCTGTTGTGGAGAGGAAGAAGCGCCGGAGTGGTAAGAGAAGAAGCTGCCACTTGGGACTCCAACTCCCAGAATGCCCATCCCTTGGCCTGGCTGGCAAAGGCTCCTGGGAGTTGGAGTCCTGATGGCTTTCTCTGTCTTTGCTGCAGGACTAGTGCCCGGCTTGCTCAACCTGGGCAACACCTGCTTCCTGAACGCCCTGCTGCAAGGCCTGGCCGCCTGCCCAGCCTTCCTCCAATGGCTGCAAGATCACACCCCCAGCCACGCCCATGCCCAGCCACGGCCACTCTCGGTCGCCTTGCTCCGTCTCCTCCAAGGTAAGCGGAAAATAAATAATAATAAATAATAATAATGTGACTTTATATATTATTATTATTATTATTAAGTGATATTATATTACTATACCACATTATATTATAATATTATTACTATATTTAATATGTGGCATGTTATTATTATATCACATATTATAATATTAATAATACTATAACAATATAATAATAATGTATATAAATAAAAATGTAATGTTCGTTTGTGGGATTAACATAACTCAAAAACCACTGGACGAATTGACACCAAATTTGGACACAACACACTTATCAGGCCAACAATTGGCCATCACTCATAGAAACACTGAAAAAAGCAGCAGAAGATACTTAAAAATCCAAAAAACAAAAAATACATTACAATGCATGCGCAAAACCACATATATATATATGCATTATTATTATTTCATATCAAAAGCATTGCATAATTTATTATAAAACTGATAAAAATAGAAGGTGTGCAGGTGGCTAAATATCTTTTGACCAAAAACAGGCAACAGCAACGGCATTGTCTGTGGCCTCCAACAATTCCTCCTCTGTACATGAGGCAGGGCACAATGGACAAGCATACAGATGCAGAGTTGTGTGTTCTGCTCCACAGTCACACATGGTATGGGATTCTTTTAGGTAGTGCCATTTTGCCAGGTTGTCTTTTGATTTGCCCACTCCGCTTCTGAGTCTATTCAGGGACTTCCAGGTTGCCCACATATATACACATATACACAAATATATATACAGACAGAAAACACTTACACACAGACTGAGCCACAGCAACGCGTGGCAGGGGACAGCTAGTACAATGTAATATAATATAGTATAATAATATGCCACTTATTATTATATTATTATTATTATACTACTATATTTATACCCCATCCTTCTCACCCCTTGGGGGACTCAGGGTGGCTTACAGACCATGGCAAATTCAAAGCCACATTACATCTATCTATCTTCTATATAATAAAAGTCAGCGTTTGTATGCGGAGGACGGGAGGTGTATGTGGCAGCATTCTGATTGGCTGCCACTGTGGTACTATTTGCATATGGTCTCTGATTGGCCAGCCAGAAACATTCCAAGATTCTGAGGTGACAAGAGGAGAGGAAAAGGCCAGAGGCTGTGTCAGAAAATTACCAATACAGACCAAACTTGGCACATAGAGCCGGCAAGACCCACTTTACATCCTACCGCAGTTTGGAGGAGAATGGACCATGGATGATGGGACTTGCAGTGCCATCACTCACATTCTGAGACCACTGTGACCTTCATCAATGACTGATGAAGATCAAACTTGGCACACAGAGCCCGCATGACCCACTCTACATCCCGGTGCTGTTATGAGGAGGATGGACCATGGATGATGGGACTTGCAGTACCTTCACTCATTTCCTGAGACCACAGCAACATTCATCCAATTATCAATAAAGACCAAACTTGGCACACAGAGCCTCCATGACCCACTCTACATCCTACTGCAGTTTGGAGGAGGATGAACCATGGATGATGGGACTTGCAGTACCACCACGTAGACATCGAGGGCTATAACCTCTTTCACAGAAACCGAACAAAGGGGAGAGGAGGCGGAGTAGCCTTATATGTCAAAAACTCTTATGCTGCAGAAGAGATTCAAGACAGCAATCCGGGAAACCAGCTTGAAATCATCTGGATAAGAATCAAGGGAACTGGGACTCAAAAAGATGTCGTTGTAGGCGTCTACTACAGACCCCCAAGCCAGGAGGGAGAACTTGATGAAGTCTTCTGCCAACAGTTGACCAAACAGGCACAGAGAAGAGATGTAGTAGTCATGGGCGATTTCAACTATCCCGATATTTGCTGGAAAAAACTCGGCCAAGAGTACAAAGTCCAACAAATTCCTCGCTTGCCTTGCAGACAATTTCATGGTCCAGAAGGTAGAAGAGGCAACAAGGGGATTGGCTACTCTTGATCTCATCCTAACAAATGTGGAGGACCTGATCGATGCGGTTGAAGTGGTAGGATCCTTAGGGGCAAGTGACCATGTGCTCCTGCAATTTGAGGTACAAAGAAAGGCCGAAACTAAGACAAGTCAAACCCGCATTTTGGACTTTAGGAGAGCTGATTTCCAAAAAATGAAGGAAACACTGAGCAGCATTCTGTGGACACAGATACTAAAAGACAAGGGAGTTATGGATGGATGGGAATTTCTCAAGAGTGAAATACTCAAGGCGCAATTGCAAACCGTGCCAACAAAGAGAAAAAATAGGAAAAGTGCAAAGAAGCCAGAATGGATGTCCAAAGAACTTCTAACTGTGCTAAGACACAAAAGAGACATGCACAAGAAGTGGAAAAAGGGAGAAATCACCAAAGAAGAATTCAAACAAATAGCCAACACCTGTAGGGAAAAGATCCGCAAGGCTAAAGCACAAAACGAGCTCAGGCTTGCCAGGGACATTAAAAAAAATAAAAAGGGATTCTTTTCTTATGTCAGTAGAAAAAGGAAAAACAAGGAGGCGATAGGGCCTCTTTGAGGAGAAAATGGGGCAATGCTGACAGGGGTAGGGAAAAGCACAAAACAAGCTCAGCTTGCCAGGGACATTAAAAACAATAAAAAGGGATTCTTTTCTTATGTCAGTAGAAAAAGGAAAAACAAGGAGGCGATAGGGCCTCTTCGAGGAGAAGATGGGGCAATGCTGACAGGGGATAGGGAAAAGGCAGAACTACTTAATACCTTCTTTGCCTCGGTCTTCTCACAAAAAGAAAGTCATCTTCAACCTCAGCAAGACGGAGTGGATGAGGGATTTGAGGACATCCAACTCCAAATTGGGAAACAAGTCGTACAGGAATACCTGGCCGCTCTAAATGAGTTCAAGTACCCAGGGCCAGATCAACTACACCCAAGAGTATTGAAGGAACTAGCGGAAGTCATTTCGGAACCATTGGCAATCATCTTTGAGAGTTCTTGGAGAACGGGAGAAGTTCCAGCAGATTGGAGGAGGGCCAATGTGGTCCCAATCTTCAAGAAGGGAAAAAAGGATGACCCAAACAATTACTGCCCGGTCAGCCTCACGTCGATACCAGGCAAGATTCTGGAAAAGATTGTTAAGGAAGTGGTCTGCAAACACTTAGAAACAAATGCGGTCATTGCTAATAGTCAACATGGATTTATCAAAAACAAGTCATGCCAGACTAATCTGATCTCTTTTTTCGATAGAGTTACAAGCTGGGTAGATGCGGGGAATGCCGTGGATGTAGCGTACCTGGATTTCAGGAAGGCCTTCTTTGACAAGGTCCCCCATGACCTTCTGGCAAGGAAACTAGTCCAATGTGGGCTAGGCAAAACTACGGTGAGGTGGATCTGTAATTGGTTAAATGGACGAACCCAGAGGGTGCTCACCAATGCTTCCTCTTCATCCTGGAAAGAAGTGACAAGTGGAGTGCCGCAGGGTTCCGTCCTGGGCCCGGTCCTGTTCAACATCTTTATTAATGACTTAGATGAAGGGTTAGAAGGCAGGATCATCAAGTTTGCAGACGACACCAAATTGGGAGGTATAGCCAATACTCCAGAGGACAGGAGCAGGATTCAAAACGATCTTGACAGATTAGAGAGATGGGCCAAAACTAACAAAATGAAGTTCAACAGTGACAAATGCAAGATACTCCACGTTGGCAGGAAAAACGAAATGCAAAGATACAGAATGGGGGATGCCTGGCTCGAGAGCAGTACGTGTGAAAAAGATCTTGGAGTCCTCGTGGACAACAAGTTAAACATGAGCCAACAATGTGATGTGGCGGCAAAAAAAGCCAATGGGATTTTGGCCTGCATCAATAGGAGCATAGTGTCTAGATCTAAGGAAGTAATGCTACCCCTCTATTCTGTTTTGGTTAGACCACATCTGGAATATTGTGTCCAATTCTGGGCACCACAATTCAAGAGAGATATTGACAAGCTGGAATGTGTCCAGAGGAGAGCGACTAAAATGATAAAAGGTCTGGAGAACAAGCCCTATGAGGAGCGGCTTAAGGAGCTGGGCATGTTTAGCCTGAAGAAGAGAAGGCTGAGAGGGGATATGATAGCCATGTATAAATATGTGAGAGGAAGCCACAGGGAGGAGGGAGCAAGCTCGTTTTCTGCTTCCCTGGAGACTAGGACGCGGAACAATGGCTTCAAACTACAAGAGAGGAGATTCCATCTGAACATGAGGAAGAACTTCCTGACTGTGAGAGCCATTCAGCAGTGGAACTCTTTGCCCCAGAGTGTGGTGGAGGCTCCTTCTTTGGAAGCTTTTAAACAGAGGCTGGATGGCCATCTGCCAGGGGTGATTTGAATGCAATATTCCTGCTTCTTGGCAGGGGGTTGGACTGGATGGCCCATGAGGTCTCTTCCAACTCTTTGATTCTATGATTCTGTTCTATGATTCTATGATTCTGAGACTGCTGTGACCTTCATCCAATGACTGATCTAGACCAAACTTGGCACATAGACCTCTCATGACCCACTTTACGCCCTGGTGTGTTTTGGCTTGGGATGGACTATGGATTATGGGACTTTCGGTACCTTTGCTCAATTCCTGAGACCACTGCAACCCTCATCCAATTACCGATAAAGACCAAACTTTGCACACTGAGTCTCCATGCCACACTCTACATCCTGGTGCGGTTTGGAGGAGGGTGCACCATGGACAATGGGACTTGCAATACCTGCACTCCCTTCCTGAGACCATTACAACTGCCAACAATGATGGATCAGGATCACAATTCGCACAGAGAGCCCGCATGACCCACTCTACATCCTGGTGAGGTTTGGAAGAATTTGGAGATGGATGATGGGACTTGCAGTACCATCACTCACTTTCTGAGACTGCTGTGACCTTCATCCAATGGCTGATCAAGACCAAACTTGGCACACAGAGCCCCCGTGACCCACTCTACATCCTGGTGCACTTTCGAGGAGGACAGATCATGGATGATGGGAATTCAAGTACCTCCACTCCCTTCCCAAGACTGCTGCAACCCTCATCTAATGACCAATCATGACCAAACTTGGCACACAGAGCCCCCATGACCCACTCTCCATCCCGGTGCTGTTTGGAGGGGGACGGATGATGGGTGATGGGACTTGCAGTACCTTCACTCACTTCCTGAAACCACAGCAACACTCATCCAAATACCAATAAAGACCAAACTTGGCACAGAGAGCCCCCATGACCCACTCTCCATCCTGGTGCAGTTTGGAGGAGGATGGACCACAGATGATGGGACTCGCAGTACCTTCACTAACTTCCTGAGACAACTGCAAGCCATATAAATAACTGATAAAGACCAGCCTTGATATACAATTCCTTTCTCAAATAACCCGAGCAGCGCAGGGGTCCCCAAGCTAGTATACAATAAATACAACATAACAATTTAAACAGTTAAAATAATAGATAAATAAATAATATAGTAATAATGTGGTATAATAATAATAATAAGCCACATAATAATATAATATAATATAATATAATATAATATAATATAATATAATATAATATAATATAATATAATATGGTATAATACAGTATAATAATAATAATAATAATAATAATATAGGATTATTTAATACTGCTTATAATAATATTATAACTGTAATAATAGTATGATAATCATAATGTCACATAATAACAATCTCAATGAATATAATAATATGGTATTGCAAAATAATAATATAATACAGTAACATAATATTATGCCAGAGTATAATAATAATATGTCACATGATAATAATTATAATATACAAAGAAATGTCCTGAGACATCAGTCGCAAGAAGAGCCTGTCATTCAAAGAAAATAATTGTTATAATATATAATAACCATGATGATGGTTTTTATTATTATTATCCTTATTTCAAGCTCTGTCTGGCGCAGAGGCAACGGAGGAGCACCTGCTGGATGCCAGCAGCTTGTTGGAGGCCCTGCGAAGCCACCGGTGGAACATCTCCTCCTTCGAAGAGCAGGTGGGATGTATAATACGGGACACTTGAGCTCATCAAAACCTTATCAGCATATCTGTTTGGGGGGGAACAATGAATATGCTTATGAGCCTTTGAATAGCCGTGCCTCTAATCTGGGACTTTAGTTGTGTATCAATGCTTGCCAGGCAGGGCCCTCCTTATCCACTTGACTGTTGATCTAAATTATGGCTTCATAATACTATAATATATTATTATAATGTTATAATATTATTATAATATAATGTTGTTTGATTACAATAATATAAAATATAATATTAGTAATATTATAATAGGTTCTTGTGGGTTTTTTCGGGCTATAGGGCCATGTTCTAGAGGCATTTCTCCTGACGCTTCACCTGCATCTATGGCAAGCATCCTCAGAGGTAGTGAGGTCTGTTGGAATTAGGACAATGGGTTTATATATCTGTGGAATGGCTGGGGTGGGGCAAAGAGCTCTTCTCTGCTGGAGCTAGGTGTGAATGTTTCAACTGACCACCTTGATTAGCATTTGAAGGCCTGGCTGAGCCTGGGAAAATCTTATGTTGAGAGGTGTTAAGATGTGCCTGGTTGTTTCCTCTCTGCTGTTTTGCTGTTGCAATTTTAGAGTTTTTTTAATACTGGTAGCCAGATTTTGTTTATTTTCATTGTCTCTTGGAGAGCCCAGTTGAGGTGGTTCAGTTCATCTTGGAGGAGGTGGGGTTCGCAGATTCTTTTTGCACAGTCTGCCAAGGCTTTAATGGTGCTTCTTTTTTGACTTGGGTGATGGTTGGAGTTTTTATGTAGATATCTATCTGTGTGTGTGGGTTTTCTGTAGACGATGTGACCCAATTGTTGATCTGGTTTGCGGATAATATTATAATAAATAATATATAATATAAAACATTATTATATTGTATTATATTATTATACTATATTATATTATATTGGTATTATATAATAAGGATAATAATCTATAATAATATACTGTATATATTTGAGTATAAGCCGACCCGAATATAAGCCAAGGCACCTAATTTTACCACAAAAAAATATGGGAAAGCGTTTTAGTATAAGCTGAGGGTGGAAAAAGCAGCAGTTACTGATAAATTTCAAAATTTTAAAAACCTCCCTCACCCACCCCCCAAAAAACCCACCCCATTTTTGTTTACTTAGGAACAAAAAAAATAACACACCTTCTCTTGCTGACTTCTGCAAATTTAGGGCTTTATTTTCTTTTGTAAAAAAATATGGGGGAGGAGTGGAATAGATATTGCTTCTTCCTCACCAGAAAGATCACTTCTTGTTTCTTTGCAAATAAAAAAAAAGCCAGGAAATTAGTTGAGTTTGAAAGAGAGCCACACAAACAAGGAGGAAATGAAACATATTTCCTTTCCCACCTTCCCTCCCCTTTGACTCAAATGGAATAATAGTAATTCCTGCAGATTTGCAAGAATCTCTCTGGAGAAGCGGAGGAGCGAGGGAGGATTTGGAAAAGAAAACACATTCCACTGCTTGGCTTGACCTGATTATAAGCCAAGGGAAGCTTTTTCAGCCCCAACATAAACAGGCCAGCAGAATGTTGGATAAGTGAAAAATTTGAATAATACAGAGGGATTAAGGAAAAGCCTAATAAATGTCAAATTACATTATGGTTTTACAAATTAAGCACCAAAACAGTATGTTTGAAATCTAAGACACCTGGAAGACCAGAGTTGGGAACATACTGATATAATAGTCTCTAGAATCCCATACTGAGCATAGAGGAATGGCAACACTGGAAAACCAAAGTTTGCTAAGCACTAATATTGGTCTACTGTATCCAGAATCTCATCTGGAGCTGGGTGGCTCTCTGTTGGGAGGGCTTGCTTGTGCCTTCTGGCCTAGCAGAATGTGGCTGAACTGGATAGCCTCTTAAGGAAGGGGGTCTCTTGCGTTTCTAGGATTCTATGCCTCTAAGTATCCTTGCTTGGTTTAGAAGAGAAGGAGGAGGAGAAAAAGGCCAGAAGTGCAAGTTGATGCAAGGCCGTCAGAGGTAAAAGAGGGAGGAGGAGGAAGAAGAGAGAGTGCTGGGGAAGAAAAAGGGAGGAGAGAGGGGATGATCTGGAGCAAAGTGTGTGTGTGTGTGCAGAAAAAAGGGGGGTTCCCCCACCCACCCGGCCAGGTAAGGCAACAGGACTTCTCTCCCCACTTTCCTTTCTTCCAGCCACGACCCTTTTCCCCTCCTCAGTTTGGAAACAAGGCTGGGTTGGAGAGAATTCTCCAAAGCAGGAGAGCGAGGCTCTGTGTGTGCCAAGAGCAGAGGGAGAGAGGAGAGCCATTGAGTTTCCTTTTCCCCTCCTCGCTTCCTTCTTTTTTACCTCCCATTCCTCTTTCTCTTTTGATTCACTCCCCTTCCCTCTGGAGGTGCGCTTTCCTCCTCCTTCTCTCACCTTTTGGTGCATGGGTAAAAAAGCCACCCGCTCTCATGAGCACATATCAAGGGGTGCAACGTTTCCAGTCAGCCACATGATGATATCAGATAATACAGTGTCGGATGAGCAGAGCTCGGATAAATGAGACTCTACTGTATTATTATTATCGTAGTCAATTGTATCATTATATTATTATGATTATACTATATTATATTATTGTAATGTTGTAATTATGTAATAATATATAATAACAATAATATAGTATGGTAGTAGAACTGTGAAATTTGGGAACGCAGGAGTCACATGTTTGAAGAAACAATGACATGGATATGCTGATGAGGCTTTGATGAGCCATGCTTCTAATCTGGAACTTTGGTTGCATGAGCGTCAATGCTCACCAGGTTGGAAGCTCCTTATCCGCGGTCTGTTAATCTGAATTATGGCTCCATTAGGACGCCCACGAGCTCTTCCACGTCCTGACAGCCTCCTTGGAAGACGAGTGGGATCCCCATCCTTACCACCGAGTGGTGCCCCTCTTTGATGTCCAGGTCCTGCAGGAGACTGAAACCCCCCCAAAGCAGATCCTTTGCAGAACTCAAGGTAAACATCTGTCTGTCTGTCTGTCTATATCTTTTGACTTGGTTGGTTTGTAATATGACACAACAAAGGCAGACTTTCAAAGGCCCCTCCTTTCCGAGCGTTACAACATTTATATGTCGCCCTTGTCACCTTGAAGGGGACTCAGAACAGCTTACAAGTTATATGTAAATACAATATATTATATTATTAGCATAGCACAATATTAGTACCATACATTCCCATATTGTACTATACTACAATATTATCACCATTGCACTATATTATATTATAATGTTGTAATATTATATAATAATATAAAATAATAATATAATAAAAATGATAATAGCAATAATATAAAATGTAATAGTAATATAATAGATAATATATAAAATATATCAATAATAAAATGATAATATAATAACAATAGTAATATGATAATAGCAATAAAATAAAATTATATAATAATAATAGCAAAACTAATAAATAATAATAATAATAATAATAGTAATAGAAAATAATAACCATGCCTTTGGAGTTTTTTCAGCAGTCTCCCTGCAGGCTTCCTGGAGGCGGCAGCACCCTTTCCATGGCAGGTTGGCCAGCAACATGATCTGCAAGCGCTGCAGGCATCAGGTATATAATAATAATAATAATAATAATAATAATAATAATAATAATAAGTACATCGGTTGGAGGTAGACGGCACTATTTGATCTCTCGCGACAGAGGGCTAGCCACTTGTCTCTCTATTCCTTCCGTTCTCCCTTCCAGAGTCCACTCAGATATGACACCTTTGACAGCCTCTCCCTGAGCATCCCAGCCACTGTGTGGGTAAGCCTATTATTATTATTATTATTACGACACAAAAACACAGTATAACAAAGCAAATGAGATATATATGCTGGATTTCGTATCACAAAATCACAAGTTGAACACTTCCCAAGCGTTTAGCACTGTGTGATGTATTTTCTAATGTTGCGCGCAGATCCAAGTAAGGTGGCCTTTTGCAGTTGACAGATCATTATTTTGTCAATGTTTATTGTTTCCAAATGCCAGCTGAACTCTTTTGACATGTTACCCATTGTGCCGATTACCACTGGGACCACCTGTTTATGCCAGAACCTTTGCAGTTCGATTTTGAGGTCCTGTTAATGGCTAGGTTTTTCCTGTTGTTTTTCCTCAATGCGGCTGTCACCCGGTATGGCAACATCAATAGTCCAAACATTTTTCTTTTCCACAATCCTGATGTCAGGTGACAGGTGTATTGTGTTCCAAAACTTTGTCAGTCTGGATTCAAAAGTGCCTCAGTATTTTTGTGTGTTCATTTTCCACTACTTTTGCAGGTTTATGATCAGTTCTTAACTACTGGCAGGTGGTACTTGTGACATAAGTTCCAATGAATCATTTGGAACACATAGTTGTGCCTCTGTTTGTAGTCTGTCTGTGCAATTTTCTTGCAGCAGCTGAAGATATGATCCATGGTTTCATCAGCTTCTTTGCACAGTCTGAATTTTGGGTCATCAGCTGATTTTTCGATCCTAGCCTTAATTGCATTTGTTCTGATGGCTTGCTCCTGGGCTGCAAGAATCAGGCCTTCTATCTCATTTTCAGGGTTCCATTTATGAGACATAACCAGGTTGTCATCATCTTCTCCTTCTTCTATAATATTTTATTAAATAATCCTTATTATTATTATATTAAATATATTATTATTATTCAATATTATTGATAATAAATATATTATTATAAATTAGTTTTAATTATTATAATAACATGTTATATATTATTAAATTATTAAGCATTACAAAATATTGTATTATGTATTAAATATAATATTATAAAATATACAATATTATATTATTTATTATATATTAAATATATTATTATACAATATTAAATTACTAATAAATATTACAAAACTAGCTAAACTTGGCCATGCTTTGCTGTGGCTCAGTCTGCTATGAAATGAATGAGATAGTAAATAAAAATATTGTTGCAAACATAGATACACCGAGGAAACACACCATTCAATTCAATACCCTGCCTTGCTTTGCTGTGTCTATGTGGAAAGAAAAGAAAGAGGTTTTTACCAGAAATCATTTTTATTGTAAAACTAGTGGATTGACTACATTTTTTTTGTTTGTCCATTTTCTGCATAAACATAAAGAGCAGATGATTTACTGACTCTGGAGTATGCGACATATAAGTGCCCCTGAGAGAAGTAATTGTTTTCTAATTTCAAACAGCACACTTACAAAGATTGCCCCTGCGCGAAGCAAGGTGTATTGGAAATTGAAGTACTTTGTACTTGGACTTCATGTTGGTTGGAATGAGTAGTATTTACGGAAGTAGTATGTCTTCACCTTAGATGGGAAGGTGATTTTCCTGTTTCTAGATTTGTAGGTGCAATGCTGCTCATATTATAGCCAGCGAAACCAGCGGCACTAAAAATCCCAAACACATTGATTTCCCCTGTACTATTTGCATTTCCAATAGCAACCAATCACAGATCAGCTGTCATTTCTTGTACTGCAGAGGTGAAATGATAGCCACTCTGTGATTGGTTGGTATTACTTATACTGCTGAGATATAGAGAAAGCAGCTCTGTTATGGGTTATTTCTTTTACTGCTGAGGTAAAAGGAAAGCTGCGCAGTGATTGGTTGCTAGAGCTCAGTTTTAATTTCTTATCCTGCAGTGGTAAAATGAAAGCTAGGCTATGAGTGGTTGCTTTGGACTTCACAGATTCCATTTTGTCTATTCCTGGACTGCTAGTTTTATTCTAATACACATGTGTATTCAAATGCACCATTGTGTCAAAATTTCATTTAACTATAAAAATGTGTGTATTGAAATGCAACGTTGTGTCAAAATGTCAAGTCCATTGACGGATTACTTTTCGAGTTTTGCAAGCACAAACATACGCAGGCTGAAATTTTATATATAAAAATATTGTATTATGTATTATATATATTATTATAATAAAATATCATTCTTATACAGTATTATATTGTTTACTATATATTATTACATTTATTATTATACAATATTAAATTATTATTATTTAATATTGTATTGGTTAAAAGGTTTCCCCCTGACATTAAGTCTAGTTGAGTCTGACTCTGGGGGTTGGTGCTCATCTCCATTTCTAAACCGAAGAGCTGCTGTTGTCTGTAGACACCTCCAAGGTCATTTGGCCAGCATGACTGCATGGAGCGCCATTACCTTTCCGCTGGAGCGGTACCTATTGATCTACTCATATTTGCATGTTTTCGAAGTGTTAGGAGCCACCGGTGGTGCTGTGGGTTGAACCACTGAGCTGCTGAACTTGCTGATTGAAAGGTCGCAGGTTTGAATCCGGGGAGTGGTGTGAGCTCCCGCTATTATCCCCAGCTTCTGCCAACAAAATATTGTATTATGTATTAAATATAATATATTATTAATATACAACATTATTAATTATTATTATTGTTGTCATTGTTATGTTATAAAATTACTGCAGGGAGGACCCGTGACGCTGGAGCAGTGCCTCCGCCACTTTGTCTCCTCCGAGTCGGTCCAAGGCGTCGAGTGTGACTCCTGCAACAAGGTCTCTAGCTTATTATTATTATTATTATTATTACCTAGGTTTTTGATTTTTAAGTTAATTAAAATAATGTAATTTAAGCGTGTTTCAAATGTTTATTATAAACTGTTATCATTATTAATATTATTAATAGCTTTGAATAATATAACAATAATATATTTTATATTTATATTTTTCTATAATCACGTTTACTTTTTAAAAATTAACCGTTATCAGATATTAATATGATGATGATGATGTCGGTTGTTTTGCATTATAAAGTAACAATTCATTATTATAGTTGTTATTATGTGGATTTTTAATTTATTAAAATAGCAGAACTGTTTCAAATAGTCAGAGGATTGTTAAATCCCATCTCCCAAGATGGCATTCCTGACAACTTGGCGGCTTGCTGTGAAGCGTTTGCTCGGTTCTTTGCAGACAAAGTTGCTCTGATCCATTTTGGCTTGGACACAATGTTAACAGCAGTCTCTGAGGATGTAACATGAGCACCTGCTTGTCTGGTTTTGGTGGATTCATTTCAATTCGTGGAGCTTGAGGATGTGAACAAGATCCTTGGAGAAGTGAGGGCAAGCACATGCATCCTAGACCCCTGCCCATCCTGGCTGATAAAGGAAGCCAGAGGGGGTTTGGCAGAGTGGGTGAAGGTGGTGGTGAATGCCTCCCTACAGGAAGACATTTCCAGCAGCTTAAAGGGAGCTGTTATAAAACTGCTGTTGAAAAAAAAATCACTGGATCCCACTCAATTAATCAACTTTCGGCCAGTTTCCGATTTCCCCTTCTTGGACAAAATCATGGAGTTGTGGTGGCCTCACGACTCTAGGAGCTCTTGGAAGGAACGGACTATCTGGATCCGGCGCAGTCTGGCTCTAGGTCGGGACATGAAACTGAAACAGTCATGGTCGTCTTAGTGGATGATTTACGCCGGGAACTGGACAGGAGGAATGTGTCCCTGTTGGTTCTGCTGGACCTCTCAGCGGCCTTAATACCGTAGACCACGGTATCCTTCTGGGGCGCCTCGCAGGGATGGGCCTTGGAGGTACTGTTCTGCAGTGGCTTCAGTCCTTCCTGGAGGGTTGTTCCCAGAAGGTATTGGGGGACACCTGCTCGGCCCCACAGCCATTGTCCTGTGGGGTCCCGCAGGGCTCAATATTGCCCCCCATATTGTTTAACATCTACATGAAACCGCTGGGAGAAATAATCTGGAGTTTTTGAATTCGATGTCACCTGTATGCAGACAACATACAACTCTATCACTCCTTTCCACCTGCTACTAAGGAAGCTGTTCAGGTCTTGAACTGGTGCTTGGCAGCCGTGTCGGTCTGGATGGGAGCAAACAAATTGAAATTGAATCCGGACAAGATTAGTGAGCAAACTCTTCAGGTAGCGCAGAGTTGTCTTCCATCTCTGAAGCCAAGAAAGAACAGTGGATAAAGTCCACATAGGAGCAGTCAGAAGGCCTGGAAGCTGCTAAGACGGTTGAGCAATGATCCCTCACAAACTAATACCCATGCCAACATAAAGGCAGATCAGATAGCGCATCAACTTCTGAAGGATGGGAAACCCAACCTTGTCACCAAACAAGGAAGGAAACCAATAGTCAGACAACCAGATAATGAGAACAACAATCTTCGTTATTATATTGATATTATCAATACTTATTATTGCAATGATTATTCTGTGGGCTCTCCATTTTTAAATTTATTATTATTATTCTGTATTTTAAAATTTTGTGATTATAAAATATTCTATTGATATTATTATTTGGTGGTTTTTTTCCTTTTTTAAAATGTATTATTATTGTTGTTGTTATTATTTCTTGCAGGTTGGAACACCAGGGAGGGTGGAAGGTGGGCGCAGCACTTTTGTGAAGCAGCTGAGGCTGGGCAAGGCAAGCAAGGCTGTTTTTTAAAGGATCACATTATTATTAAATAGTATTGTTGAATTATACTATGAAATATTATTGAATTATATTATTACACAATATTACTATTAAATATTATTATTACATATTAATATTTATAATATTAATAATTATCAAATATTGAATTAGAATATTGAATATTACTATTAAATATTAAATATTGTTGAATTATATTGTTACATGTAGTATTAAATATTATTAAATTTAAATGTTATTGAAGTATTAAATATTAAATTATTAAATATTGTTTAATATTATTAAATATTGAATAGTGTTAAATGTTGACTATTGTTGAATTATTAAATATTATTGGCTATTGGCATTATTAACTATGATGATGAAATGATTATGCTTTGCAGCTGCCTCAGTGCCTGTGCCTGCACTTGCAGCGGCTGAGCTGGTCTGGGCGGTGTGGCCAAGCTCTCAAACGCCGAGAACGCGTCCTCTTCGGGGAGACCCTGGCCCTATGCCCCTTCCGACACAGCCCCTCCCGGACAGGTAGGAGACCATCATCAGGGCCAACCATCATATTTAATCATTATTACTGTTGAATAGTATTAAATACTATTAGATATTATTATTATTGAATTATATTAATAAATATTATTAAATATTAAATATTATGGTTGAATTATATTATTGGATATTATTCTTGAATATTATTGTTGCATCTTATTATTAAACATTGCTAAATATTATTGAATTAATACTAATATTAAGTAATAGAATATAAGAATTAATATAATATTAATTATATTAAATAAATGGTATTATTATTAGTAATTATTATAATAGAATTCTAGAATTTAGGTTATTACTACTACTACTACTAATAATAATACTAATATTCTAACTCTCTGTGCAGATGCTGATCCGCCATCGGATGGCAAAACTGCTTTGGCCAATGGTGCCTGCCCCGCCCTCCCTGACCGCAGGTGAGTTCATCCAGAGGTTGATTCATGGTCAATCGAGGGTCAAATGAGGGCCAATCGAGACGGTCAGTCAAGAGGTTGATTCAAGGCCAATCAAGATGATCAATCGAAGGGTCAATTGAGGATTTGATTCGGGGTCAATCGAGGGGTCAATCAAGGGGTCCACTGAGGTCAATCGAAGGTCAAGGGAGGGCCAGTCAAGGGGTTGATTAAGGGTCAAGTTGAGAAGGTCATTCAAGAGGTTAATTGAGGATCAATTGAGGGATAGATCGAGGGCCATCGAAGGTCAACTGAGGGGTCCATTGAGGGCCATCAAAGATCAATGGAGGGGCTCATTAAGTTGATTGAGGGTCAATCGAGGGGCTCTCTCGAGGGGCCCTTTGAGGGCAGTCGAAGGTCAGTTGAAGGCTAATTGATGGGTTGATTCGGTGTCAATTGAGAGGTCCATCGAGGGGTTGATTCTTGGTCAATCGAAGGTCAATTGAGGTCAGTTGAGAGGTTGATTGAGAGTCAATTAAGGGGTCCATCAAGAATCAATCAAGGGGTCAATAGAGGGTCCATCGAGAATAAATTGAGGACTCCATCAAGGGCAATCCAAGGTCAATGGAGGGGGTCCATCAAGGGGTTGATTCAGGGTCAATTGCGGGTTCCATCGAGGATCAATCAAGGGGTCAATTGAGGGTCCATCGAAAATCAGTTGAGTTCATCAAAGGCAATTGAAGGTCAACTGAGGGGTCCTTCAAGGGGCCAATTGAGAAGTTAATCGAGGGCCAGTTTAGGGGTCCACCAAGGGGTTGGTTGAAGGTCAGCTGAAGGTTCCACTGAGGGATTGATTCTGGGTCAATTGAGCGGTCAATTGAAATCAGTTGAGAGGTTGATTCAGGGTCAATTGAGAGGTCAATCAAGGGCATCGAAGGTCAATCGAGGGGTTGCTACAGGGTCAATTGAGAAGTCCATTTAGGGAAACTGAAGGTCAATCAAAGGTCAATATATGTAAGCCGTCTTGAGTCCCCTATGGGGTTGAGAAGGGCGGTGTTTAAATACAGTGAATAAATAAATAAACTGAGGAGTCAATTGAGGGGCTGATTTTGGGTCAATTGAGAGGCCAATCGAGAAAGTCAGCCAAGAGGTTGATTGAGGGTCAATTGGGAATCAACTGGGGGGTCCATCAAGGGGACTTGCATAGGGGATTCCAACTCCCATCATCTTCCCCTCTCTTGTCCTGCAGCTCCAGATCCTGCGCCTACCGCTTGATGGCAGTGGTGGTGCACCACGGGGACATGCACTCAGGGCACTTTGTGACCTTCCGCCGCTCACCAGCCTCCCCCCGCTGGCTCTGGGCCTCGGATGACGTTGTGCGGAGGAGCTCCTTGCAGGAAGTCCTGGCCTCCAGCGCCTACCTGCTCTTCTATGAACGCATCCAGACAACAAAGACGACCTGAGGCTTCCATCCGACTGATATATTCTTCCTCCCACAAGAGGGACCAGGACAAAGGCAGCGGTGCTCCACAGAGTTCGGTGTTTTTCAAGAAGCGCTTCCCACTTTCCAGGCACTTTATGACCCTCCTCTAAGTGCCTTGACCTCCCCTCAGGGTCTTCCAGACGGCGTCTGTCAAGGGGGCCATTTAAGGGTTGATCTGAGGACAATCGAGAGGGTCGATTAAGGGGACAATCGAGGGTTAATCTGAGGACAATTGAAGGGTTAATTGAGGGCCAATTGAGAGAGTCAATTGAGAATCAATCGAGGGGCTAATCGAGGGTCAGTTGGGAAGGTTAGCGGAGAAAGTCAAGGTTGACTGAGGATCAATCAAAAGCCAGTGGAGGAGTTTATTCAGGGTCAATCGAAACATTGAATCAGGGTCCATCAAGAATCTATTGAGGGCCAATCAAAGGCTCCATTGAGGGCAAGCAAAGGTCAACTGCAGGGTCATCTCAAGGTCCATTGAGGGGTCAATTAAGAATCAGTTGAGGGCCAATTGAAGGGTCCATTGAGGGGTTGATTCATGGCCAATTGAGGGGTCCACCGAAGGTCAACTGAGAGATCCATCAATTGAGGGGTCCATCGAGGGCCAATTGACAAGGTCAGTTGAGAGATCAATCAAGAATTAGTTCAGGAGTTCATCAAAGGTTAACTGAAGGGGTAAATTCAGGGTCCATTGAGAATCAATTGAGGGCCAATCGAGTTCCGCAGAGAGTTGATTCAGGGTCAACTGAGATACGTTGAAAGGTTGATTCGGGGTCTATCAAGAGAGTCAATCAAGGAATCCACTGAGCTTTGATTGAGGGGTTTGTCAAGGATTCAGTGGAGAGGATCCATTGAGGTGGTGCATCATCCCCTTTCCAGTGAAACACTCAAATAAAAATAGTCTTCCTCATACATAATATATATATATCCTTTATTTAAATATAGATAATAATTGGCTATGGCTCAAGTCTCCGGGAGAGTGGATTTATGGGCCAACATGGCTGCCCCGGACGTCCCGGAAGGTCAGGTTCACCCGGTGGCCCGTGACCCCCCTGCGGGCAGGGAGGCCGTGACGCCAATGCTGGTTGGTGGGGAAGCGCATCACCAGGAGGCTCCCATGCTCCAGGTGCAGCCAGACAGGGGTGGGGTGACTGGGGGTGGAGTGGCCTTTGCTGCCGCAGTGCCGGAAGACAAAGTCCCGCCCGGCCCCAAAGGAGACTGAGGCAATGGGGCTGCGCGGCTCCAGCTCCCGCTCATCGTCCCGGTGCTCCCCCATGCGGTCCCGGCCATCCTTGTACCTGCAGAAAAGGAGTGTTCAGCTTTCTCCCTTGTCCAACTCTGAGAAGGACCACTTTTTTCAGTTCTGAGGACTACTCTCTCATTTCTCCAGATCCTACTTTCTCCCTTCTCCAGATCTGAGAAAGACTCCCTTTTCCACCTCTTAGAGGCCCTACTTTCTGCCTTCGTTTTTCAGCTTTGAGATTGCCTACTTTCTTCGTTCTTCACCTCTGAGAAGGACTACTCCTTATTCAGGCCCTACTTTCTCCACCTCTGAGAAGGTCTACTTTTCCCAGCTCTGAGATGACCTGCTTTCTTTTTCTCCAGCTCTGAAAAGGCCCACTTTTTACCATATCTGAAAAGGACTACTCTCTCCTTTCTCCAGGCCCCATTTTCTCCCTTCTCCACCTGATAAGGAGGAATTTTCCCAGCTCCGAAAGGCCCTAAATCCTATTAAATCACCTGTTTATGAGGACAAAATTGAAGCTATGCCCGATGACTGCCTGGACACATTCCCTGACGCGCTGCAGCACGGGGATCCAGGGCTTCGGGGAGAAAGTGGCCCCCGAATAGGTATAGCTCAGCCCCGCATCTCCATAGGCCACCTGCTTGCGCGGGACGTTGTGCCACTTCCCAAACACATACAGCTTGGCCAAATCCCCTATTCGTAAGAGAGAGAAAATAAAGATAAATATTAACTAAACTTTTGTATGGCCGCCCATTAAGTTGAACGTCGATATGGTGTCGTCAGCATAGCTGACAAATACTACACCTCCCTTTGAAGTTCGAGGAGGGAATAAACACAAACACATATATAGTATAATATATAATTCTATAAAGTATAATATGTAATATAAAAATAAATATATATATATAATTAATAAAATATATAATAACATATAACTATATTATTATATTCAGCTTAGTTTTATCTGTAGCATTAGAGGGATGTTTCCTGTGAATAAGGATCACATAGTGCAATACTATTACTACTTTTATTAATTATATTTTAATTAATAATAATATATTAAATATCATTATATTGATATTTAATATTATAGTATATATTATATATAATTATATACTAGCAGTCCCCTGCCACGTGTTGCTGTGGCCCAATCTGGTGATAAGAAAGTGTTGGTTTCTAATATATGTAATGTCTTTATGCTTGTGGGAAAACAGTACTTCTTGTTGTTTATCAGTGTTGATGTGGAGATTGTCTGGTTTGGTTTGCCTTCTCTGGAACATGCAACATATCATTGTCCTTCTTTAGGGGTCCCTTTCAAATCTTTGATACTGCATCTGTCATATACATATATGAGCGTGTGTGTGAATGGCTGGATGGTTCTTTGTCAGGAGGGCTTTAATTATGTTTTCTTCCCCTGGTGAAGGGATTTGGACTGGATGGCCTTAAGGCAGCATTTCTCAACCTGGGAAGTCAAGACCCCGGGGGAGGGGTCACCAGGGGGATGTCAGAAGGGTCACCAAAGGCCACCAGAAAACACAGTATTTTCTGTTGGTCATGGGGATTCTGTGTGGGATGTTTGGCCCAATTCCATCGTTGGTGGGGTTCAGACTGCTCTTTGATTGTAAGTGAACTAGAAATCCCAGCAACTACATGTTTCCCATGAATAAGGATCCTATAGTGCAGCAGTTCTCAACCTGGGGGTCGTGATCCCCAGAGGGGTCACGGCACCATGTCCATTGGCCCTGCCCCCTCCACCAGGCTGCGCAGTGCTGCCTCTGTTCTGTGTTTTTTGCCACCTGCCGAGTTTGGCAGTTGGCGTGACCAGGACAAGAGGCAAAATGTGAGGCCAGGCCATGCGGTGCTGCCTCCCTCGTCTGGCTTTCATCGCTTGCCAGGCCCGACGGGCGGTGCAAGCCAGGCAAGGGGCTTCCCGTGAGACCAGGACATGCGGTGGTGCCTCCCTCACCTGGCGTTTGCCATTTGCCAGGCCCTATGGGTAGCGTGAGCCAGGCAAGGGAGAAGAAAAGAAGGAAAGGGAGGAAAAAGGAAGGAAGGAAAGAAGGAGAGAAGAAAAGGAAGAGAGAGAAGGAAGGAAGGGAGAAGGAAAGGGGAGGAAAAAATGAAGGAAAGAAAGAGAGAAGGGAAAAAAAGAAAGAGAGAGGAAGGAAGGAAAGAAAGAAAGAGAAGGAAGGAAGGCACCTGGGGCTGCAGGGCTGGCAGGCAGTGGAAGGCGCATCCGTCTCTTCGTCACGCTCCTAGTCTTCGGCCATTTTCCTCTTGCTGCTCCCTGTTGCCCCCGGACAAGAAACCAGCAGCAGCAACCAGACCAGCAGCAGGGCCAAGGGGCAGCAAGAGGAGAGCAGCCAAAGACTATGAGCGTAGCGACGAGAGACAGATGCACCTCCCGCTGCCTTCCAGCCCTACAGCCCCAGTCATGTCGCACCCCGCCTCGGATCCCCTGGTGCTCTACCGGTGGAGCTAGAGTATCCGAGGTCAGCGCCCTTCGGGACTGGGGGCCAGGAAAGCCCCGGCCTGCTTGCCTGCATTCCTTCCTTCCCTCCCTCCTTTTGCCTTTCTTTTCTTTCCCCTTCCTTCCTTCCTTCCTTCCTTCCTTCCTTCCTTCCTTCCTTCCTTCCTTCCTTCCTCCTCCTCCTTCTCCTCCTTTCACCATTCCCATCTTTTACTTCCCTTCCCTTCTTCCTTATTTTCCTCTGCACTTGGGCGCTCCCTCCCTCCTTTCAGATCCAGCTCCACCTCCTCATCCTCGCCCTCTGCAGCCACCGGACGAGAGAACGGTAGCAGCAGGGCCTTCTGCCTCCATGCCCCTCTCGAGAGTACCAGTATTCCAATTTCAGCATATCAGGTTTTTGTGCCAAATTTGATAAAGATCCATCATTGTCTGAGTTCACAGTGCTCTCTGGATGTAGGTAAACTACAACTCCAAAACTCAAGGCCAATGCCCTTCCATTGACTATTATTATTATTATTATTATTACTCCTGCAGTAATTCTATCTTCCTGTGTGGCAGAAAGAAGGGGCTGAACTACATGACCTTAGGGGTTTCCTTCCAATTGTATGAGTCTTATAATACTACATAATAGTAATAATACACAAATTCTATATACCTGCCTGGCATAAAGGAGGGGGCTGGACTAGATGACCCTTGGGGGTCCCTTCAAACTGAGTCTAATAATAATAATAATAATGTATAATAGTAAAATAGTAACTCTATATTCCTGCCTGGCATAAAGGAGGGGGCTGGACTAGATGACCTTTGGGTCTATCTTCCTGCCTGGCAGAAAGAAAGGGGCTGGACTAGATGGCTTTTGGGGGACACTTCCAATTGTTTGAGTCTTAATAATAATAATAATAATAATAATTCATTCATAATAATATAATCGCAATTCTAGCTTCCTGCCTGGCAGAAAGAAGGGGCTGGATTAGATGACCTTTGGGATTCCCTTCCAACTGTCTGAGTCTTATAATAATAATGTATAATAATAGTCTCTTGGAGTGACTACAGGTGCAATAAAACCCTTCTGGTATTTTCTGTTGGTCATGGGAGTTTTGTGTGCTAAGTTTGGTTCAATTCCATCGTTGGTGGAGTTCAGACTGCTCTTTAATTGTAAGTGAACTAGAAATCCTAGCAACTACAACTCCCAAAATGTCAAGGTCTATTTTCCCCAAACTCCACCAGTGTTCACATTTGGGCATAATGAGTGTTTGTGCCAAGCTGGGTCCAGATCCATGGTTGTTTGGGTTCACATTTGCTCTCTGGATGTAGGTGAACGATATCTCTCCTAAATCACTGCCAAACCCCTCCAGTATTTTTTGTTGGTTATGGGGGTTCTGTGTGCCGAGTTTGGTCCAGGTCTGTCATTCATGGGGGGGTCTCGGTATTCTGTGGAAGTCAGAGTTGAATCTGTTGAAGGTACTGCAAAGCCCATCATCCATTGTCCATACTCCTCCAAACATATTGTTTTGTTGATTAATCTCTATGCTTTAATTATGTTCAATTTGTAATGATGAAAATACAACCTGCATATCAGATATTTACATAACAATTCATAACAGTAGCAAAATGAAATTTATGAAGTAGCAACGAAAATAATTTTATGGTTGGGGGGGAGGGGGGTCACCACAATGTGAGGAACTGTATTTAGGGGTCACGGCATTAGAAAGGTTGAGAACCACAGCTATAGTGCATTATTATTACTATTTTATATTATACATTATTATAATATACTATCGTCACATCAATATAATATTTTATTAAATATATTACTATAAAATATATTAATATAACATTTTAAATATATCAATGCATTTTATTATATCAATTAATATATATTTATATTACATTAAATATATCAATATAGTAAAACTATACTAATATAATATTATAATATTATATTAAATTATATTATAATATATTTTATTATAGTATTTAATAATAATAACAATCTTTTTTTAACCCCCCCCCCCCCCCCGGAGAGACTCAAGGCAGCTTCCAAAAAAGAAAAAATGGCAAACATTGAATGCCATGTGCAATAGCAAATTAAACAATCTTGGCTAAGACATATAACTCTATCAGGCCTTATAAATACCCCCATAAGTATATTAAAGCATTAAAATCTCTATAAATAAAAATATAGAAGTATAAAAATATAAATATATAACAATATATAAATATATAGCTCTTCAATAAGTCAGATGGGTTAGAATCAATGGTTTCTATTAAATTAAATTACGCATATTAAATGAAATATTACATGTAAGATATAATATTATATTCTAAACAAAATATGGAAACTTTTGTATGGGCCACCAATAAGCTGAACGTTGCTATGGTGTTGTCAGTGTACCTTGCAAATACTCGATGTCCCGTTCGAGTTCAAGAAGGATCCCATCAGCTTCGCTTTTGCTGAAAAGGATCCTATAATCGCAATGTAGGCCCTCAGCCCGGATTTCCTTCCATATGGCTTCTTTTTCCTCCACTCCATTCTTCTCCTCCTCTTCCAATCCAAGTGGGTTCCTTTTCTTCTTGATGAGGAATTTGTCCATCCTAAATTAGTTACCTGGGAAAGGAAAGGAACAAGCATCAAGATGATGATGATGATGATAATAATAATAATAATAATAAATGGTATAATAATATAATGAACATATTATAATAAAGTATAACCAAAATATGTTTTACTAATATAATAATACTATGATATAATAGGGTATAAGGTAATAGTATAGTAATATAATATACTGTATGTTTTAATATAATAATACTATAATATAATATGGTATAATAATATAATACTTTAATAGAACAATATAATAATAGGGTCGCTGTGAGTTTTTCGGGCTGTATGGCCATATTCCAGAAGCATTCTCTCCTGACGTTTCGCCAACAATTATGGAAGGAATCCTCACAGTTTGTGAGGTCTGTTGGAAACTAGGCAAGAAGAGTTTATATATCTTTGGAATAATGTCCAGGGTGGGAGAAAGGACTTTTGTCTCTTTGAGGCAGATGTGAATGAAGAAACACAATCTACAAACTATCTGCAGACCCACTAAGAAAATCCAACAAATGCTACGTTCATCAAAGGACAAGAGGGATCCTCTGTATACCATGCAGCTGTGGACAAGTCTCCATAGGGACCAAACGCAGCAGCATTGCCCAGACACAAATCAAGGAACATGAAAGGCACTGCAGACTAATCCAACCAGAGAAGTCAGCCATAGTAGAGCACTTGATGAATCAACGTGGACAATGTTTATTTATCGTGTCAGGGGCAACCAGACAGTTGTATTACATTTCTAACAGAACAAAACAAACAAACAGACAGACAAAACACAAAATTTGCAAGCTTGATAGTTGATTAAATGTCCTTTGACCAGTAGCTGGCCACTTGGAGTGTCTCTGCTGTTGCCGCAAGGAGGTCCTCCATCGTGCATGTGGCAGGGCCCAGGTTGCATTGCAGCAGGTGGTCAGTGGTTTGCTCTTCTCCACACTCGCATGTCGTGGATTCCACTTTGTAGCCCCATTTCTTGAGGTTGGCTCTGCATCTCGTGGGGCCAGAGCGCAGTCTGTTCAGCGCCTTCCAAGTCGCCCAGTTTTCTGTGTGCCCAGGGGGGAGTCTCTCATTTGGTATCAGCCATTGGTTGAGGTTCTGGGTTTGAACCTGCCACTTTTGGACTCTTGCTTGCTGGGGTGTTCCAGCTAGTGTCTCGGTAGATCTTAGAAAACTCTGTCTTGTTTTAAGTTGTCGAGGTGCTGGCTGATACCCAAACAAGGGATGAGCTGGAGATGTCGTTGCCTTGGTTCTTTCACTATTGGCTGCTACTTCCCGGCAGATATCAGGTGGTGCAATACAGGGGTCCCCAAACTACTGCCCGCGGGCCGTATGCGGTCCGCCGAGGGCATTTCTCCAACCTGCGCGGCCTGGCCACGCCCACCCGGCGCCGCTCCGCCAATTGCAGACACCCTCTGCTCCGGCCGCTCTGCCTGTGTGGGAGGGAGAAGCCTCCCAGGTGGGTCCTCTGCAGAGCAGAGCGGCCAGATTAGAGGGTGTCCGCAATTGACGGAGCGGCGCAGGGTGGGCGTGGCCAGGGAACACCGGCGTGGTGAAGGCAGGTGAACTACAACTCCAAAACTCAAGGTCAATGCCCACTAATCCCAGTATTTTCTGTTGTTCATGGGAGTTCTGTATACCAAGACTAGTTCAATTCCATCATTGGTGGAGTCCAGAATGCTCTTTGAATGAACTATACATCCCAGCAAATACAACCCCCAAACACCACCAGTGTTCACATTTGGACATATTGAGTATCAGTGCCAAGTTTGGTCCAGATCTATCATTGAGTCCACAGTGATTTATGGAGGCAGGTGAACTACAACTCCAAAACCAAAGGACACTGCCCACCAAACCCTTCCAGTATTTTCTGTTGGTCATGGGAGAACTGTGTGCCAAGTTTGGTTCAATTCCATCGTTGATAGGGTTCAGAATGGTCTTTGATTGTAGGTGAACTATAAATCCCAGCAACTACAACTCCCAAATGTAAAGATTCTATTTTCCCCAAACACCACCAGTGTTCAAATTTGGGCATATTGAGTATTTGTGCCAAGTTTGTTCCCGATCCATCATTGTTTGAGTCCACAATGATCTCTGAATGTAGGTGAACTACAACTCCAAAACGAAAGGACACTGCTCACCAAACCCTTCCAGTATTTTCAGTTGGTCATGGGAGAAATGTGTGCCAAGCTTGGTTCAATTCCATCGTTGGTGGGGTTCAAAATGCTCTGTGATTGTAGTTGAACTATAAATCCCAGTAACTACAACTCCCAAATGACAAAATCACTTTTTTGAGTGAAGGACATACATTGGGTTGTTAGGTGTCTTGTGTCCAAAATTGGTGTCAATTCGTCCAGTGGTTTTTGAGTTCTGTTAATCCCACAAACGAAGATTTTTATTTATATAGAAGTGTGGGTTTTTGTTTTGATTTTGTGTGTGGGGGGGAGGGGGTTGCACTGCAAATAATATATGTGAAGAGTGCATAGGAATTCATTCAATTTTTTTTTGCGGTACTGTGACCCGGCCCTCTGTTCAAAATGTTTGGGGACCCCTGGGCCAGACAGTGTAATTTTTCCAGTGGTGTAGGGCGCAGACACACCGTGATAATGCGGCATGTCTCATTAAGAGCCACATCCACTGTTTTAGCGTGGTGAGATGTGTTCCACACTGGGCATGCATACTCAGCAGCAGAGTAGCATAGCGCAAGGGCAGATGTCTTCACTGTGTCTGGTTGTGATCCCCAGGTTGTGCCAGTCAGCTTTCGTATGATATTGTTTCTAGCACCCATTTTTTGCTTGATATTCAGGCAGTGCTTCTTGTAGGTCAGGGCACGGTCCAGATATTTGGGTGTGCTGCAATGCTCCAGTGGTATTCCTTCCCAGGTAATCCTCAGAACTCGGGATGCTTGTCTGTTCTTAAGGTGAAAAGCACATGTCTGTGTTTTAGATGGGTTAAGGATCAGCTGGTTTTCCCTGTAATAGGCGGTAAGGGCACCTAGAGATTCGGAGAGCTTCTGTTCTACCATCCCAAAGCTCCCTGCTTGAGCAGTAATGGCACGATCATCAGCATAGATGAAGCTCTCTGTCCCTTCTGGCAGTGGCTGGTCATTTGTGTAGATGTTGAACATGGATGGAGCAAACATGCTCCCCTGAGGCAGGCCGTTCTTCTGTTTCCGCCATCTACTTCTCTGGCCCTGGAACTCAACAAAAAAGCTCCTGTTTTGTAGCAGGTTTCCTATGAGGCGGGTGAGGTAGTAATCCTTTGTCTCTCATGGGGGACATGAGAGAAGCCTCCTCGCAGGATTGCAAGAAATCCGGGCGTCCCCTGGGCAACGTCTTCGTAGACGGCTGATTCTCTCACACCAGAAGCAACCAGAAATGTGGACAATGAGAACACAGAAGTGCTGGGCCACTTTAACAACCACAATGTCAGACTACACACAGAAGCCGCTGAAATCCACAAGAAGCATGTGGACAATTACAACAGAAAAGAGGAAACAACAAAAATGAAAAAAATCTGGCTCCCAGTATTAAAGACCTCTAAAATCAGGACAGTAAATAAAGAACAGGGGAATTCCACACAAGAAACAATCAGGGCCAGCTAATCACCTCCTAACAAAGGACCCCCCAGGCAGCAACCAGCCAGACCTTGAAACTGCAAGGCCATTAAATGCTAATCAAGGTGGACAATTGCAACATCCACACCTAGCTCCAACAGACAAAGAGTTCTTTTTCCAACCCTGGATATTCCACAGATATATAAACCCCTCTTGCCTAGTTGCTAACAGACCTCACAACCTCTGAGGATGCCCGCCACAGATGCAGGTGAAACGTCAGGAAAGAATGCTTCTAAAACATGGCCATACAGCCCGGAACACTCACAGCAACCTAATAATTGTAATATTCTAGTAATACATCAATATAAAAGAACAATTTAATAATATAGTCTTGTATAATAATAAAATTATAATATGATAGCAGTATTATAATATTTTAGATTAAAATAGGCCTCTATATATATATATATATATATATATATATATATATATATATATATATATAAAATAGTTTCTAAATGTAAATAAATATTATATAACTACATATAATATATACATATAAATACAAATAAAAGTATATAAATATAAATAAATCCTATATATATATATATATACACACACACACACACAAAGTATTAAAATAAAAAAACTAATAGTATATAAATATACAACTATAAATAGTATTTAAGTATAAATATGATAAAAATTGGCGGCCCCGTCACACTCTCTCAGCTTCACAGCAATACATAGCTCTAAATGAAAACTGCGCATGTGCACAGCCACCCGTTTGATGTCTTCCGTCTTACCTCTGAAGCGTGCCTGAAGAGAAGCAGCAATGTGCACGCGCAGAGTCGAGACCGCTAAGCTCCGCCAACACGTCTCCGAGGGGGCGGGACTTCCCGAGCCGCGCATGCGCAGTGCTTTCCGCGCCAATTTCGAGCCGAGAGGCAGACAGAGCGAGACGCGGAGGAGTAGTCGCTATGATAGGGCAGAGGACCCTGCGGTCTTTCTTCTCCCCGGTCGCTGCCGAGAAGCGGAGTCGACCCGCAGATAGCAATGGAGACGCCGATGAAAAGGTAGAATTCGGCTTTTTGGGCTTCTCTGAGGCGAAATAAATAAATGAATAAATAAATAATTCAACGGACTCCAATCAGAGAGGGGAGGGGCGGGGCCAAAGCGGGTTTGTCCAATGAGGGCGGGGTAGGGGCCGGACCTTTCCTCCTGGCGGGCCAATGGGGAGCACAGAAGGGCGGGGTTTCTTTTTAGGCGGGAAATTCCATCTTTCCCCAAGGGGAGAAGCCACTGTTTCTAATATTCCAATCAGGAGGTGGGAGGGGCGGGGCAATAGTGGCACTGTCCAATGAGGGCGGGTTTGGAGGCGGTACCTTTCCTCTGGGCGGGTAAAAGGAACAAGGCATGGGGGTTCCTTTCTATGCGGGATCTTCTCCCCTAAAGGGGAGGGGCCTTGTGATCCTCATGCCAATTAGAAAACGGGCTGTCTAGTGAGGGCGGTGCTGTCCAGTGAGGCAGGGTGGAGGCCGGCCAATGAGGAGCCAGAAGGGGCGTGGTTTCTGTTTGGGCGGGAAATAGTATACTTGACTATAATATCCATATAATATAATATAATATAATAGTATCCATGTCATCCTCCCCCAAAGGGGTGAAGCATAGTGTTCCTCGCCTGCCAATCAGGAAGCAGGAGGGGAGGTACTGTCCAATGAGGATGGTATGGAGGCGGGACCTTCCCGCGGCCCATTGAGTCCAGAGGGGCGTGGCTTCGATTTGGGCGGGAAAGAATAAACTCCCAATCAGGAAGCAGGGGCGGGGCCACTAGTGCTACTAGGCATGGCTTACTCAATGAGGCAGAGGGAAGGTGGGGCTTGAGGAAACAGCGGGCCATTGGGGACCTCGGAGGGCGTGTTTTTCCCGGGAAAGTCACGGAAGTCAGCGCATTGTGATTTATTTATTTACCTTATGTATATCCCGCCTTTCTCGACCCGGAGGGGCACGCAAGGCGGCTTACAATAGCACCTCCATGGGGCCTCAAAACATACCACATCAGTTAAAACCTAAGTTAAACCTTTAAGCACAATGCTAGGGAGGTTTCGGACCTTCCTGACTGGCTGCGTGCCTTTTTGGCAGCCCTGCAAAAGAGCCAAGGCGGAGCCGGGCCCCCCGCTCAGCCCGGAGCAGCTGGAGCGCATCCGGAGGAACAAAGAGGCGGCCCAGCAGAGGCTGCGCCAGGCCCGCTCCAGAGGAGGAGGCGCCCTCCTCACCGACCAGATCGCCCCCGCCTGGAAAGCGGCCCTCGAGCACGAGTTCCACAAGCCCTACTTCAGCCAGGTACATCTTCTTATTGTTATATATAGGGAGAGAGTATATCGTATAGAGTTATATAATATACTAGCCCTCCCCAGCCACGTGTTGCTGTGGCCCACTCTGGTGCTCTGGAAAAGAAAGTAATGAGAAAGTGTTATTTTCTAATGTATGTAATGCCTTTCTGCATGTGGGTAAACAGTATTTCTTGCTGTTTCTTTGTCAGTGTTGATGTGGAGAGTGTCTGGTTTGCCTACTCGGAAACATGCAACAGATAATTGTCCTTCTTTAGGAGTCCCTTTCAAATCTATCTATGACTGGATGGCCTTAAGGAAGCATTTCTCAACCTGGGGCTCAGGACCCTGGGGGAGGGTCGTGAAGGGGGTGTCAGAAGGGTCGCTAAAGACCACCAGAAAACACAGTATTTTCTGTTGGGCATGGGTGTTCTGTGTGGGAAGTTTGCCCCAATTCTGTCATTGGTGGAGTTCAGAATGCTCTTTGATTGTAGGTGAACTATAAATCCCAGTAACTACAACTCCCAAATGTCAAAGTCTGTTTTCCCCCAAACTCCATCTGTGTTCATATTTGGACATATGGAGTATTCATGCCAAGTTTGGTCCAGAACCATCATTGTTTGAGTCCACAGTGCTGTCTGGATGTAGGTGAACTACAACTCTCAAGGTCAATGCTCACCAAACCCTTCTATTGTTTTCTGTTGGTCATGGGAGTAATGTGTGCCATGTCCACAGTGCTCTCTGAACTGAACGCGGCATTGTGTTAAAATCTGCCTTTACTATTAAAACACAAGTGAATTCGATTGCAATATTGTGTTAAAATTTTAAGTCACTCAACCATCTATTTTTTGAGTTTTGCGAGCAGAAAAATACGCAGGTTGATATTTTATATATAAAGATAATAATAATAAATATAATAAAATATAATACATAATATAATTATAATAATATAACAATATCAATTATAATAGAATATAATAATAATAAACGTAATAACTAATAATAATAAACAAATTACTACACTTCCTCTTTACCTTTACAGTGCTGCCTTTCTTCAACTCTGGCCTCAAGACGTTAGAAAAATAGCAATAATAATAATAATAATAATAATAATATAGTAATATAATATATGATGATAATAATATAATAAAATAGTAATAATATATAATAATAATATCAATAATAACATGTTATTTTTAATGATGATAATAATTCTTGTCTCTCCTCCAAACCAACCAGCTCATGTCCTTTGTTGCCGAGGAGCGCCGCCGACACACAGTGTTCCCTCCCCCGCACCAGGTCTTCACTTGGACCCAGATGTGTGACATTAGCGATGTGAGTACCTGCTTGTCCATCTGCCGGGAGGGATTGGGTGGTGCCTTCCCGCATGGCGTAGTGTGGCTGAATGTTCCTTTCTTTCTATCTTTCCATCCAGGTGAAAGTAGTGATCTTGGGCCAAGACCCCTACCACGGCCCCGGCCAAGCCCACGGCCTCTGCTTCAGTGTCCAGAGGCCCCTCCCACCGCCACCCAGGTATATGATCATATTATAATATTAAAATAGTATAATAAATATAATGATAAATATAATGATAGTAATAAATATACATCTGATCCTTTCTATCTCTATCCTGTCCCCTTGTGGCCACGTCTGGGCATTGCATCCATATAATAATATAAACTATATAAATAAAAATGTAATGTTCGTTTGTGGGATTAACAGAACTTAAAAACCACTGGATGAATACTATGATCATTTTTTCAAATCTGAAGTGATATTTGATAATAATAATAATAATCTATATAAATAAAAATGTAATATTCGTTTGTGGGATTAACAGAACTTAAAAACCACTGGACAAATTGCCGCCAAATTTGGCCATAAGACACCAACCAAAGCAATCTATGTCCTTCACTCAAAAAAAACTCCCCCCAAAAAATGACAAGACCTTTAAAATTTAAAAAAGGAAAAAGAGAACACAGCGTGTGCGTGCAAACCCCTTCTCTTCCCGCCGTCCCCGTGGACACAACCAGCGTGAGAGGCACCAACGGCCATCCTCCCTCACCGCTGGATCAGGGCAGGAGGCAAGGGAGGCTAGGAGCACTGAGGAGGCCACCTTACCCCACCTTCCCCTTCTGTTCTATTCTGTCAGTTGTGGTGTTCAGCATGCTCATTGATTGTAGGTGAACTAAAAATCCCTAATCTCAAACACCAGCCTAAGCAGCGGAGGCAGAGAGGCCTCTTCCTGCACCTCCTGCTTCGCTCAAGACCTGGCGGAACAGCCCCAAGGCTGCCCTGAGCCAGGGAGCAGGAGTGGGAGGAGGCCTCTCCCTCGCCGCTGCTGGTGCGCGGCGATGGCTTTCATACTGAATGTGCCTGGCTGAGGCCTGGCCCACCTTGCCCAAACACAGTTGCTGGCAGAGAGGTCTTCCTCAGACTCCACCAGTATATTTGTGCCAAGTTTGGATCCATCTTTGTTTGGATTCACAGTGCTCTCTGGGTGTAGGTGAACTTCTATTCTTCATCAGAGGCTGAATGGTCATCTATCAGGAGTGCTTTGATTGTGTTTTTTCCTTTATAGGAGAAAGGGCTGGACTGGATGGCCCTTGGAGGTTTCTTCCTACCCTAGGATTCTATTATTATTATTATTATTATTATTATTATTATTATTATTAAGCAGAGGGTGAATGATGTCCATCTGTCAGGAATGCTTTGATTGTGGGGCAGGAATGGATGGCCCTTGGAGGTCTCTTCTTACCCTACAATTCTATTATTATTAATACTATTGTTGTTGTTATTATTATTAAGTAGACTTTCTCATTACTTAATTTTCAGTATCACCAGATTGCACCACAGCAACGTGTGGCTGAGTACAGCTAGTATAATATAATAATATAATTACTACAATAAAAAGATAATAAATATAACAATAAATACAATAATAATTATAAATAAGTTATCATTTCTATCTCTATGCCACCCCTTGTGGCTGTGTCTAGGCATATATTTATTATGATGATGATTATTATACACATATAATAAATGCACTGTGGACTCAAACAATGATGGATCTGGACAAACTTGGCATGAATAGACAATGTACCCAAATGTGAACACTGGTGGAGTTTGAGGAAAATAGACCTTGACATCTGAGAGTTGTAGTTGCTGGGATTGATAGTTCACCTACAATCAAAGAGCATTCTGAACCCCACCAAGGATAGAATGGGGCCAAACTTCCCACACAGAACCCCCATGACCAACAGAAAAATACTATGTTTTCTGATGGTCTTTGGCAACCCCTCTGACACCCTCCTCCCGACACCCCCCCCCCCCCCCCAGGTTGAGAAACGCTGTCTTAGCCTTGATCAGCAACTGAACAAAAGGTTTGGGGGGAACTGACCTTGATTTATAGGCGTTGCAGTTCACCTACATCCAGAGAGCACTGTGAACCCAACCAAGGATAGATCTGGACCATACTTGCCACGGTTGATGGGATTTACAGTACTTTCACTCATTTCCTGAGACCACTGTGACCCACACAAATGACGGGCCTGGACCAAACTTGCCACACAGACCCCCCATGACCCACTTTATATCTTGGTGCGGACTGGAGAAGGATGGACCAGGGATGATGGAAATTGCAGTATCTTCACTCACTTTCAGAAACTACTGTGACCCGAACAAATGATGCACTTGGACCAAATTTGACACACAGACTCCCTATGACACACTTTCTGTCCTGGTGAGAGTTGGGGGTGGATGGACCACAAGACCATGGGATTTGCAGTACTTTCACCCAATTCCACAGACCACTGTGTCCCCCATGAATGACAGGCCTAACTTGGGATACAAAGCCCCAACAGAATATACTGGAGGGGAACTGATCCACCTGCGTGGGGGTTATAGTTCACCCTGCACCCAGAGCACTCTGAACCCCATCAATGACAAATCTGGACCACACTCTGAACACAGAACTCTGGTGACCAAGAGATGTTTGTGGGGGGACCAAATTACCCACATGGGAATTGTAGTTCACCCTGCACCCAGAGCACTCTGAACCCCACCAATGACGGATCCGGGCCAGATATGGTACACAGACCCAACATGCCCAACTGTGAATACAGGCAGAGTTTGGGGATCATTGCCCTCGGAATCTGGTAGTTGTAGTTCACCTGAATCCATCGAGCACTGAACCCAACCAACGTCAAATCTGGACCACACTTGGCACATAGATCCAACATGGACAACTATGCCTGGTTTGGGGAGGATTTACCCACGATTCTGAGAACTGTAGTTCACCCACATCCTTACGCATTTTCTAATGGGAGCATTCATAAAAAACCAAATCAAAGACTGGCTTTTTTTTCTAATAATGTTACTAATTAACTGAATGATATTGCCTTTCAACCCAAAACAAACAATGCCTTTTTCAAATAACCCGTTCTTTGCTGGGTACCCAAGCTAGTATTTTAATATAATAAATAATAAATATAATAATAGTAATAAATACAATACGAAATATAAGAAATACATTAATAATAGTAAATAACTTTCTTATCTTTTCGATCTCTATGCTGTCCCATTGAGGCTGCATCTGAACATTGCATCCATGTAGACCAATTGAGCTGATTCTTTCTGCCTTTGGTTTGCTTTGCAGCCTAGAGAACATTTACAAAGAACTGGCCGCAGATATTGAAGGGTTTTCTCATCCGGGACACGGAGACCTGACCGGATGGGCCAAACAAGGTAAAACCCTAAAAGAGGTCTCTGTTATTGTTATTATATTATTAGTATATATTTTATTACTTTTATTATATTTTATTACTATATTATATTACATATTTTGTTGTAATACATATTCTATATAATTATTATTATTTTATTACGTCATCTATATTATACGTATTATTATTATTATATGGGTTCTGCATAGTTCAACATGCAGCATTAAAGGGATGTTTCTCATGAATAAGGATCACATACTGCATTATTATAATATATTAATAATATATTATCTTATATTTATATATATTGTCATTATTATATATTCTTCTTATATATTATCATTATATATCTATATCTAAGTAATAGTATATTATATCATTAATTATTATGTAATACGTTATGTAATACAAGCTAAACCTGACCATGCTTCACTGTGGCTCAGTGTGATATGAAATGAAATGAATGAGATAGTAAACAAAAGTATTGTTGCGAACATAGATTCACAGAGAAATCACATCATTCAGTTCAGTACCCTACCTTGCGTTGCTGTGTCTACATGGAATGAAAGGAACGGAGAGAAAAAGAGAGGTTTTTTAATAGAAATATTTTTTTATTGTAAAGCTATTGGATTAATTACATTTATGGTTTATCCGTTTTCTGCATAAACATAAAGATCTAATGGTTTACCAACTCTGGAGCATGGGACGTATAAGTGCCTCTGAGACAAGCAATTGTTTTCTAAATACAAACTGCACACTTGCAAAAATTTCCCCTTGCGCCTTATTGATAGTCATAGGTTATTATTTCTTTTACTGCTGAAGTAAAAGGAAAGCTGTGTAGCAATTGGTTACTCGTGCTCAGTTTTCCTTTCTTATACTGCTGTGATAAAATGAAAGCTAGGTTGTGAGTGGTTGCTTTGGGCATCACAGATTCCACTCTGTCTATTCCTGTCTATTCCTGGACTGTTAGTTTTACTCTAAATGATGTGTGTATTCGAATGGGATGTTGTGTCAAAAATTCATTTTACTATAAAAACACATGTGAATGCAACATGTCAAAATGTCAAGTCATTCGACCCACCACTTTTTGAGTTTTGCAAGCACTAACATACACAGGCTGAGATTTTATATATAAAGATATCATATTATTATATATTATAATTTATTATTATCCATCTTTATATCTTATTATGCTAAACATTATTAAATTACTATATAATATATTATTATATAATGTATATTGTTATACATATTATTATAATAGCTATATCTACCTATATATATTATTATATAATATAATCTATAAAATTAGTATATATTATAATTAAATATAATATTTATCTATAGCTGTTATTATAATATTATATTAAATATTATAATATATTATATATTTATTTATCTATCGATCTGTGTGTCCTAGGTGTGCTTCTGCTGAATGCGGTGCTGACAGTGCGTGCGCATGAGCCGACTTCTCACAAGGAGAAGGGCTGGGAGGCCTTCACGGATGCAGTGGTCGCCTGGCTGAACCGGAACCTGGATGGCCTTGTCTTCCTCCTCTGGGGCTCCTACGCGCACAAGAAGGGCAGTGCCATCGACAGGGTAATGATAATATAATATAGTAATGATCTAGTATAGTCACGTAATAATAATAATAATAATTAATAATAATAAGTTGAAATAATATGCATAATAATATACAATAATAGTATATTATATTAAATATTATTAATATATTAATATATAACGAGAATGAGAATATATAATAATGATAATATATAATAATATATAGTATTATTATTAGGTTTTGTTAACTTTGCAAATTATAGTGATTAAAATTATTCCTTATATTAAAATATATTATTTTATATTATATTAGTAATATTAATATTTATTATTATTATTATTATTATTGATGTTTCCTGCAGAAGCGTCACACAGTGCTGTTGGCGGCTCACCCGTCCCCTCTCTCTGCGCATCGAGGTTTTCTGGGCTGCAGGCACTTCTCCAAAGCCAATGCGCTGCTCCAGAAGTCTGGCAAACGGCCTATCCAGTGGGGAGACCTTTGAGGTCTTGGTCACTTTTCCGAGGTTTTTGGCTTCCAGGTTCTAGGTTCTTACGTTTTGATTGCTTTCATGCATTCGGTCCATATTCATATTGTTACATCTCGTTCTTCCAGACTGGTATGTTTCAATACCAGCTTTATGGCTTTTATGGGAATGACACTTGTTTACAATGTTGTTGTTGTTGTTGTTTATTTTTATACATTTTTTTAAATAAACTGCATTTGTTTTGCTATTTTCTGTTTCCTTTTTGCAGACATTCCAGAATCAAAGGGAGGGCTACAAGGTTTATATTATTATAATATTTATATTATTATTATTTCATTATATTATTAATTATATTAATAGCATTAATATTTTTATGAATGCTGTATTATTTATATTTATTTTATTTATTTATATTTTTATATTATAATAATAATTATATATTATAAATTATATTATTATTAAATTATTTATATTATATTATTTTTATATTATTTATATTATTATTACATACAGCAGTCACTGAACATGACAGGAGTGCTGTATTATATACTATTATATTAATGCCATGTAGAGTGTTAGCAGTAAATAATAGTAATAATGGCAGTTAATAATAATAATAATAATAACAACAATATATAATCATAATCATCATCCTTGCAACTCCAGGTGTTCTTGGATGAAACTGATTATCTGGATCTGTCGCAGGCTGGCTTCAGGCTGGATCACGGAACCGAGACAGCCTTGGTCTCCTTGGTGGGTGATCTATTCAGGGAACTAGACAGGGGGAGTGTGTCGCTGTAGGTTCTCTTGGACCTCTCAGCGGCCTTCAATATCGTAGACCATGGCATCCTCTGGGACCTTTCTGAGAAATGGGGCTGGGAGGCACTTTTCTGCAATGGCTCTAGTCCTTTCTGGAGGGTCGTTATCAGAAGGTGTTTCAGGGGGCACTTGATCGGCCCGGCAACCATTGACTTGCGGGGTCCCACAGGGCTCAGTACTGTCCCCCATGTTGTTTAACATCTATACGAGCCTGGAACCACAGGTCGCTGTGGTGGCTAGGGGGGCTTTCGCACAATTTAAACTTGTGCGCCAGTTGCACCTGTATTTTGAGAAGTCGGAGTTGGTCACGGTGGTCCATGCTCTTGTTACCTCTCGAATAGACTATTACAACGCGCTCTACGTAGGGTTGCCTTTGAAGACTGTTCAAAGCGGTGTACAGGGAACATGCAACCCCCCTGCTGCGTCAGCTCCACTGGCTGCCAGTCTGCTACCAGGCTCAATTCAAAGTGCTGGCTTTAGTCTATAAAGCCCTGAATGTTTCTGGCCCAGCTTACCTATTTGAACGTATCTCCCTCTATGAACCATCATGGAGGCTAAGATTATCCGGGGAGGCCTTGCTCTCCATCCCGCCTTTTTCACAGGTGCAGTTAGTGGAGACAAGAGACAGTGCCTTCTCAGTGGTGGCCCCTGGGTTGTGGAACTCCCTAGTGATATTTGATCAGCTCCTTCCCTTCTAGCCTTCAGAAAGAGAGTTAAACCATGGTTTTGGGACCAAGCTTTTGGAAAATACCTGCACTGCAATAAATGAACATAGAATTTGTGCAATGACATTCGGAATGGCCCCAGATTACGATTTTGGATTATGTAATTGTTTTTAGATGTTTTAACTCTCTGGTTTTTAACGTAGATGTTTACCAGTTGTATGTTATTTTAAGGGAGGGTTGAGAAGGGCAGGATACAAATATGGTAAACAAACAAATAAATAATATATTAGTGTCATGTACAGTGCTGGCAGAATTAATATTACAATAATTATAATTATATATTAGTAGCAGGTATAGTACTGGCAGTATATAATAATCTATTATTATTATTATGTGCACTAAATAATAATAATGACAATAATAATAATAATGCAAGAACAGTACTGGCAGTATATAATAATATTTTTAGGTACGGTGCTCTCAATATATAAATAATAGTATGACCAGTGGAGCAGTGGGTTAAAGCGCTGAGCTGCTGAGCTTGTTGACCAAAAGGTCGCAGGTTTGATTCCGGGGAGCGGCGTGAGCTTCCGCTGTCAGCCCTAGCTTCTGCCAACCTAGCAGTTCGAAAACATGCAAATGTGAGTAGATCAATAGGTACCGCTCCGGCAGGAAGGTAACAGCGCTCCATGCTGTCCTGCTGGCCACATGACCTTGGAGGTGTCTATGGACAACGCCGACTCTTTGGCTTAGAAATGGAGATGAGCACCACACCCCAGAGTCAGACATGACTGGACTTAATGTCAGGGGACAACCTTTACCTTTACCTATATATGTATAATTATATATAAATAAAAATGTTTTTAGTCTGCACAGTGCTGGTGGTGAGCAATAATAATAGTAATATACAATAATATATAAATCTATGTTAGTTTTAAATGTCATTTTTTGTGGGAAAACCATTTTGCTGGTCCTTTTGTTCATTTGAAGTTGAGATTCATTTGTCATATTTTTGTCCTAAATTTTTAGCAGCATCCAAATGTTATGTACATTTATACATACAGAGACAATGAGAGAAAATTCTCACATTTTATTATTAAATTATCAAAACGGACAATGGTTATAGATAGTACATTTTAATGACAGTTTACTATCCCAAGTTGTCATTGCAACTTGATGTGGAGACTTTAAACAATTAAATTAAGTCATTTATAAACACGAGTTTTATGATAGTTGAAAATCCAGTTCCATTTTATTTCATAGGAAATAAATTATAAATAAGATTTACAAACTGTAACACTGCCTAGAATCAAGAAAAATATCCTACTCAAGTCTAAGTATCAAACTCTACATTCTTTCCCTTAAAAAAGTTAATCCCTAATATATTTCAGGATCAATTTTTTTGTTTTATTACATTATTTCAGTTTCTGAGATCAGCTTCTTTCCTTCCGTGATATGAAAAGATGATTTTAATTGTCCATGGATTTATATGACGCAAAAGTAGAGCTGTCCATAGGAAGTCAACGTTCATCTTAGTAAGTCAATGTTGGCCATAGGAAGTCAATGTTGGTAATCGAAAGTCAGTGTTGATCTTGATAAGTCAATGTTCATCTTAGTAAGTCAGTGTTGTCCATTGGAAGTCAGTGTTGAATATAGGAAGTCAATATTCATCTTGGTAAGTCAACACTGGTCACTGGAAGTCAACATTGACCATTGGAAATCTGTTAATCTTGGTACAACAACATCAGTCATAGGAAGTCAACGTTGTCCATTGGAAGACAGCATTCATTTAGCAAATCAATATTCATCATAGGAAGTCAACGTTGGCCATTGGAAGTCAACATTCATCTTGGTAAGTCAACATTGAACATAGGAAGTCAGTGTTGGCCATCAGAAATCAAGGTTCAGCTTGATAAGTCAATGTTGACCATAAAATTTCAGCATTCAACTTGGTAAGTCAACATTGGCCATAGGAAATCAGCGTTCAGCTTGGTAAGACAATATTGATAACGAAGTCAACTGTAACCACCAGAAGCCAATGGTGAGTATAGGAAGTCAACGCTCAGCTTGGTGCGTCAGTGTTGACCATCAGAAGTCAACAGTGACCATCAGAAGTCAACAGTGAGCATAGGAAGTCAACATTCAGCATAGTGTGTCAGTGTTGACCATTGGAAGTCAACGGTGACGATCGGAAGTTAACGTTAAGTCTATATTGAATAGAGAAAGTCAACGGTAACAACTGGAAGTCAACTGTGAGCCTAGGAAGTCAACATTGACCATAGGAACTCAATGGTGACCATAGAAAGTCAATGGTGACCATAGAAAGTCAACGTCCAGCATGGTAAGTCTACATCAGTTATAGGAAGTTAACCTTGACCACCGGAAGTCAACAGTTGAGCATAGCATTGTGCAAAGTGGACAATCAAGTTGACCATAAAGAGTTGTGCTGAATTTGATGTCCATTTGGGAAGCCAAAGTTGGTTATCATGCCTCCATGGTCAACTCTAGTGCTTGATGTTTCTTGATAAGGAAGGAAGAGACGAGTGAGATCCTGAGTGCTGCTCAATGGAGGGTGATGGGCTTGTTGCCTTGGGTGCCAAGGTAGGGCGCGGAAGAAACGGTGGCATCCAGCGTGGCGTACGTGGTGTAGAGGCCAGTCACTTGCAAGTCCGCAAAGGAGTGATCACTTCCACTGCAGGTGGGGTTCAGACCAGCAGCAGAGGCCAGGTCGCAGTCAGACAGAGGCAGTGGAGAGTTGCTGAAGGCCCCCAGGCTGTCCAGGTTGAAGCTCTCATCCTTTATCTCATCCCAGATGTTTCCTAGAAAGCGATGAGGGTCAAAAGAGATCATAGGGGTCTTAGTAGACCACAAACTGAGCCAGTTAGAGAACTCAAATGTAATCCTAGGCTGCATCAATAGACTAGTATCTAGATTGAGGGTAGCCATATTGTACTGGTGTGTTTTGGGCTATATAATAATAATAATATTGATGTTGCCATACCAGGTGACAGCCGCATTGAGGAAAAACAACCGGAAAAACTCAGCCGCTATCAAGACCTCAAAATGGAACTGCAAAGGCTCTGGCATAAACCAGTAGAGGTGGTCCCAGTGGTAATTGGCACACTGGGTGCCGTGCCAAAAGATCTCAGGTGGCATTTGGAAACAATACACGTCGACAAAATCACAATCTCAACTGCAAAAGGCCACCTTACTTGGATCTGCGTGCATCATTCAAAAATACATCACACAGCCCTAGACGCTTGGGAAGTGTTCGACTTGTGATTTTTTGATACTAAATCCAGCATATAGATCTCGTTTGCTGTGACATACTGTGCTTTTGTCAGTAAAATAATAATAATATAATGTATAATAAAAATATAATACTGCAATGTAATGTAATGTATAATAACCTAATCTATTTATAATATAATAATAATACTGCAATGTATTGTATAACACAAGACCATTATATTACATGGTCCTGTGTTGGGAACCTGTAGAGGCCACTTACCTTGGAGGGCGAAGTCCATGATGCTGGGGTCCAGGGCATCCACCTCGGCATTCATGTCGGTCATGACAGCACTGAGGAAGTCAGGGCCGCGGAGGAGGACTTCATGCGGTGGTGGCGGCGGCGGCATCATGGGTGGCGGGAGGGGGCTGCTATGCCCCATGCCGCGGAGGGCGTGGAGCGGTGGGGTCTGCGCAGGGGCTGGCGAGTCGGGTGCCATGCAGGACTGAGCCTGGACCTGGTGGTGCAAGGACATTGGAGGCAAGGGCAGCGCCATCACCGGTTGCGGAGGCGGTGGTTGTGCAGGTCGTGACACAATGTTCCGGGCAGCTTCCACTTCAGCTGGCTTTCTCCTGCAGTTCTCTGGCCGATCCGTGATGAGTTTGTCCAGCTCTTCTACAGTAAGAGAGATGAACATGGGCGTTGGAGAAGGACCTCTTAGAATATTTCAAGATAGAGGAAATATCCTCTCAAGAAGGGTCTAGTCCTTCATATAGCTTTGATCTGACCAATAACTGGTTTTATATACCCGGGTGCAGACACCAAGAAGGCTCTGTTCTCTTCCTATGGAGATGTATGGATGAGAAGAACCTTCCAGAAGATCTCAACTTGTGGCCATCAGAAGCCATTGTTCATCTTAGTAAGTCAACATTGACCATCAAGGTTCAATGTTCATCTTAGTAAGTCAACGTTGAACATAGAAAGTCAGTGTTGGCCATCGGAAGTCAACATTCATCTTAGTAAGTCAGTGTTGGCCATAGAAAGTCAACGCTGGCCATCAGAAGTCAACGTTCATCTTAGTAAGTTAACGTTGGCCATAGGTAGTCAATGTTCATTTTAGTAAGTCAATGTTGAACATAGAAAGTCAATGTTGGCCATCGGTCAATGTTCATCTTAGCAAGTCAACATTGACCATAGGAAGGCAACATTGGCCATCGGAAGTCAAGGTTCATCTTAATAAGTCAATGTTGGCCATAAGAAGTCAATGTTGGCCATTGGGAGTCAAGGTTCGTCTTAATAAGTCAACGTTGGCCATATGTCAACAATGTTGACTTCATTGGAACTCAACATTGGCCATAGGAAATCAACGTTGGCCATCAGAAATTAACATTCATCTTAGTAAGTCAACGTTGGCCATAGGAAGTCAACATTCATCTTAATAAGTCAACATTGGTCATAGGTAGTCAACATTCATTTTAATAAGGCAACACTGAACATAGGAAATCAACGTTGGCCATTGAAAGGATCTCACCTGGGTTGGCCATGCTCCTATGGATGGCGGGGAGGTCCTTCCGCTTCCACTTCTGCATCTCCTCCTCCATCTTGCCGATCTTGGCTGGGTTCAGGGCCCAGAGGCAGCCCTTGCGTGAGGAAGAAGCAGAAGAAGAAGAAGAGGCCTTGCTCTCTACCTTTGTGAAGCACTTGTTGAGCGAGAGGTTGTGCCGAACGGAGTTCTTCCAGCCATCAGGCGCCGTCTCCAATGGAAGGAAGGAAAGGAAAAGTAACCTCGAGTTACCTCAAGGGGCCTTGGGGTCAAAGGAGGAGGAGCTACAGAGCACATGGGCACCTACCTACTCCAGCCATTGGCTTACCTTGAAATACGGGAAGTGCTCCTTCATGAAGCTGTAGATCTCGCTCACGGGAAGGCTGCCCGTCTGGCTGTTCTTCAGTGCCATTGCAATCAAGCAACTATGAGAAAATAAAAATGATTATCATTATTACTATTATCACTTCTATTACTGCTATTATTATCACTACTACTATTATGTTGTTATTGTTATTATTACTATTACTTTTTATCACTGTTATCAATACTCTAATTACTATATTATTACTATTATTATACTATAATTGTTACTATATTATTATTATTATTATTATTATTATTATTATTTTTGGAATACATTTGGTGGCCTCCAATCCAATTGCCATCTAAGGCTGACCTGGCATAGCATTCCCAAAGGGGACCATATTTGGCACCTATAAGACATATACATCCTATAAAACCTATAGAAGAGACTTACCTGTAGGAATATATGGGTTTGGGGTAATGCTTGGGGTGCATTTCCTGTGCATTGTTATTGAGCGGCGCAATGCGCGGCGGCGCATATTGTGTCTGTTGCTGTTGCTGCTGCAGCGCATAGGAAGAATGGCTGTAGATGGAGGCCTGCGGAGGACACTGCGAAATAAAAGGTAAATAAACATGCATCAATCAATCCTCTCTCTATATATATATCTTTAACTACATTTTATTTGTATGTTTTATATTACTATAATAATTATTATTTATTATATATTAGATATTTAATTACCTAATTTTATTATAATATTATATATATATTATTTTGTTTTATTATGATATATATTACACTGTATTATATATGCATTATATAATTTTAATATTATATATTTATATAATTTTATTATATTATGTTATTTAATTATATTATATTTATATTATTATATAACAATATTTTGTTATTTATTCCATATATTACTTATTCATGATATTTATTATATTATTAGGTAAAGGTAAAGGTAGTCCCCTGACATTAAGTCCAGTCATGTCTGACTCTGGGGTATGGTGCTTATCTCCATTTCTAAGCCGAAGAGCCAGCGTTGTCCGTAGACACCTCCAAGGTCATGTGGCCGGCATGACTGCATGGAGCGCCGGAGCGGTACCTATTGATCTACTCACATTTGCATGTTTTCGAACTGCTAGGTTGGCAGAAGTTAGGGCTGACAGCGGAAGCTCAAGCCGCTCCCCGGAATCGAACCTGCGACCTTTCGATCAACAAGCTCAGCAGCTCAGTGCTTTAACCCACTGCGCCACCGGGGGCTCCATATTATATTATATTATATTATATTATATTATATTATATTATATTATATTATATTATATTATATTATATATTGTTATATATAATATCATAATATAACAAAATATAATATATTATATTATTAATATATATATATATTATATTTTGTTATATTATGATATTATATATAACAATATATTATAATAGTATAATAGTAAAATAACTATAATAATAAAATAATATATAATTCTGTTATATATTATCTATTACTATATTTATCATATTATTTTGATTATATTTCTATTAATCGTATACCTGTTGCGCAATGGTGAAGGCCTGCTGCTCCTGGCAAGGTGGCGGTGGAGGGAAGAGCGGTGCATAACGGCTGACCTAACAGGAAGTGAAAGTGTTAACTTCCTCCTTGACCTGACCTTTGGCACAGACATTAGAAGGGCAAGGAGGGAGGCAGGGGGGTCACACTCACAGCACTGAGTCCCAGGATGCTTTGTGGCAGAGAGGAGGCCAGCAGACGCCCTGTAGGCAGGCACAGAAAACAACACATTATTATTATTATTATTATTATTATTATTATTATTATTATATAGTAATAATATGTTCATTAAGGGATTCTGGACATGGCCAAAGGCTTGTTGAAATAGCCATATCTTCAGATGTATTGGAAGACTTGGAGAGTGGGGGCTTGCCTAAATTCCCTGGGAAGGATGTTCCAGAGCCAGGGGCCACCACTGAGAAGGCCCCCTTTCACCAACCTCACTAGAGATGGAGGTGGGACCGAAAGGAGGCCCTCCCTGGCAGATCTCAGAACCCATGCCGGTTCATAGGGGGATGCGGTCTCGAAGATAGATTGGACCCAAAGCATATAGGGCTTTGTAGATAATAACCTGCACTTTGAATTGGGACCGGAAACTTATTGGCAGTAGGGGCATTGTGAGCTCCCTATAGCTGGCTCCAGTTAGTAGCCTGGCTGCTGATTTTTGCACCAATTGCAGTTTCCCAGCCATTTTCAAAGGCAGCCCCACATAGAGTGCATTGCAGTAGTCCATTCTAGACGTAACTAAGGCTTCTCGAGGTACGGTCGCAAGTAGTGCCCAAGCTTTAACTGTGCGAAGGCCCTCCTGGCCCCCGCCAACACCTGAGCTTCAAGCATCAGCACTGAATCCAGGATGACCCCCAGACTGTGGACCTGTGTCTTCAAGGGAAGTGTGATCCCATCCAGCATAGGTTGCCACCCTATACCCCGATTGGCCTTGCGGCTGACCAGGAGGACCTCTGTCTTGTCTGGATTAAGTCTCAGCTTCTTAGCCCTCATCCAGTCCATCACTGCTGCCAGGCACCGCCCCACAATCCAGGGGGCTTCCTTGGATTTCGGTGGAAAGGAGTAACAGAGTTGTGTGTCATCTGCATAGAGATGGCACCCAACTAGATGTAGATACTGAAAAGTATGGGGGAGAGAATGGAAGCTTGTAGAACCCCACAGGTCAACGGCCAGGGGTCTGAGCAGGTGTCCTCCAGCATCACCATCTGGAAACAATTCTCCAGGAAGGAGCAGAGCCACTGCAGAGCAATGCCCCCAAGGCCCATTCCGCAAGGCTGACCCAAAGGATACCATGGTGAATGGTATCAAAAGCCACTGAGATGTCCAAGAGAACCAACAAGGACACACTCCCCCCTGTCTAGTTCTCTGCAGAGGTTGTCCACCAAAGGGACCAAAGCTGTTTCCGTTCCATGACTAGGCCTAAAACCAGACTGCGAGGGATCAAGATGATCAGTTTCATCCAAGTAACCCTGGAGCTGAGAAGCCATATTTTAGTATAATATAAAATAAATATAATAATATGATATATAATATAACAATATATTATAATAGTATATTAAATATAATAATAAAATAATAAAATAAGATATAACATAAATTAATAAAATAGTATATTAGTACAATAAATATAATAAAAATAAGATTATAATATGATAAATATAATAGCATGATACTATAATAAAATATATTATTTTAGTACAATAAATATAATAAAATATAATATTAATAAATATAATACATATAATAATGTATTCTAATAAAATAATATTAATAATATTAACAATAATAGGGTACCTGTGTGTTGTGGGCGGGCCCTGCTCTGTAGACGTGGGACATCCACAGAGGTCAGCCAGGAGAGGCACTGCAAATCTCCAGCAGCAGGAGGAGGAGGCGGCTCATCCATTGCCCTACACGCACATACAAAAGAGAGACATAGTTTGCCTCCTTTAATCTATCTGTCTGTCTGTCTATAGAGAAAGACCGGAGAGCCTTTGCTCCGGGCCTATGCAAAGCTTGATTTAGGTCTCAGTTCTCCAAAGGCCAAGGGTTCCTCATGGAGAAGTTTTTATAGTATAAATATTCGCTCCAATGACTTTTGGAAAATAATAATAATATATTATATTTTTATAATATAATATTTGTTTTATGTTATTATTATGTTATATTATTTATTACTCATATTTATTACATATATAATATATATTAATATAATATTATATAATATAAATAATATAATAATGTAATCATATTATATAATATATAATATTGAGTATGTAATATATATTTTCATGTCAGGACTTGAGAAACTGCAAGTTGCTTCTGGTGTGAGAAGAATAAATATAATGAAAATTGTTTACTTACTTATTATCTATTAATAAAATAATAATATAATATAATCATATAATAAATATATACTATATGATATTGAGTATATTACTATTTAATTACACACACCCACACACACACACACACACACACACACACACACACACACATATATATATATATATATATATATATATATATGCCTTCAGGCATGTAATGCAATGCCATGGAATGTGACACAGAATAATAATAATAATAATAATAATAATAATAATAATAATAATAATAATAATATAAATGAAGTAAAGCGATAAAATGAAGCGGTTGCCCTTTAAGTAAGGCAGGCGGTCAGGCCTGCAGCCGTTGGGCGCCCTTTGTCCTTGGTGGGGCACGTGTGTCCCCTTTGGTCCCCCATTGTTTCCTCCTATTAATTAATGAAGGAATGAATGGGGAGGAAAGAAGGAAGGCCATCTGTTGGCCCCAAAGTGCAGAGTAGAAGACAATGGGATTCATGAATGGATTGAACTGGATGGATGGATGAAGGAAGGAAGGAAGGAATGAGGTCACAAGGGAGGGGGGGGCGAGGAAGAGGAGCAGGAACAGGCTTCAGGCATAGAATAATAATTATATTATATTATAATAATATAATATTTTAATATTATAATATAATATAATAAATATAATAGCATTAATATACTATGATATGATACAATTAAAAGAATAAAATATAATGTATATTAATAGAATATAATAAATTTAATAAGTAAATGTGCTAGATGAATTCTTATTACGCTTTTATTAATTATTTTATATTGTTTTAATTTATTTGGTTAGTTATTCTAAGTTATATTGATGGGGAGATAGGGCGGGTTATACATTAATAATAATAATAATAATAATAATAATAATAATAATAATAATAATAAATATAGTATAATATAATATAATATAAGTAATATACCGGTAATATGATAAAATAATATATTATAATAGAACTAATACTTCATATCTCTCTATCGCCACCTTGTGACTAACATGGAGCACTGCATGCACACAGAGAGATTCATTGATTGATTGAAGGCATTACGAACAATACAGATATATTGTATTATATAATCATAATCATAATGATATAATAATATATCATATAATAATGATAATAATAATAATAACAACAATAATTCCTGCCCCTGGAATTAATTAATATACAATAATATATACTTACGGATACTACTAATAATATAATGTATTATTATGTTATATTATACTATATTACATTACTTTATATTATATGTGTAATACATATGTAATATTGCTATGAATAATTATTTTTGCATGTGAATATAAATATAAAATGAATATAATATAATGTAAATATGAATATAATATAATATACTGTACATTCAAAAATAGATATAAATGCTTGGCTTATATCTATATCTATTGAATTATATTATATTTATTATATTATTATTGTATTATATTGCATTATATTGTATTGTAATATTATTATTGTATATTACGTTATATTAGTAATCTAGTAATATAATCTATTGTATTATATTATTAATTTATATTATATTAAGTTATTATTATATTAATAATATATTATATTATGTTACTGTTGTATTATAAGTCTAAAGGTTTCCACTGACATTAAATCTAGCCTTGTCCGACTCTAGGTGTTGGTGCTCATCCCCATTTCTAAGCCGAAGAACCGGCATTGTACGTAGATGCCTCCAAGGTCACGTGGCTAGCATGACTGCATGGAGCGCCATTACCTTCCTGCCAGAGCAGTACCTATTGATCTACTCATATTTGCATGTTTTTGAACTGCTAGGATAGCAGAAGCTGGGCCTAACAGCGGGAGCTCATCCCGCTCTCTGGATTCGAACCGCCAACCTTTTGGTTGGCAAGTTCAGTACTTCAGTGGCTTAACCCGCTGTGCCACCAGTATTATATTATATTACTGTATTATATCATTGCATTATATTATTATATTATTGCATCATAGTTATTATATTATACTATATAATAATATTATATATTATTATATTATATTATTGTATATCAGTATTATTCATTATATTATATTATACTATTATAACATTGTTTTATATTCTATTAATCTATTGTATTCTATTATTTTATAACATTATAAATTATAATTATAAATTATAATTATCACATTTGGCCCAGCCATAGGTTTTAAAATGCTTGTTGTTACTGTTACTGTTTATTGTTTATTTTTTGTTTATGAGATTTATTTTGATTGTTTTGTATTGATGTTTTGTTATTGCTTTTATTATTGTTGTTCTATGGGCTTGGCCTCATGTAAGCCGCACCAAGTCCCTTGGGGAGATGGTAGCGGGGTATAAATAAAATTATTATTATTATTATTATTATTATTATTATTGTTATTATTATTATATTATTATTATTATTATTACTACTACTAGCTGTACCCGCCACGCATAACTGTGGCCAACCTTCCCTCTTTCTCTCCTTCTTTCCCTCCTTCCTTCACTTCCTCTTTCCTTCCTTCCTGTCTTTCCTTCTCTTCTTCCTTCCTTCTCTATCTCTTTCCTTCCTTCCCCCTTTTTTCTCTTCTGATGTCTTTCTTTTCTTCCTTCCTTCTCTCTTTCCTTCTTTCCTTCCCTCCCTCTTTCTCTACATCTTCCCCCTTCCTTCGCTCCCTCTTTCTTTCCTTCTTTCCCTTTTTTCTTTCCTTCTCCCCTTCTTTCCTTCTCTAACTTTCCTTCCTTCCTTCCCCCTTTTTCTTTCCCTCCCTCTTTCTCTCCTTCCTTCCTTCTCTACCTCTTTCCTTCCTTCCTTCTCTGTTTGCTTCCATGCGTTCTTCTCCCTTTCCTTCCTCTTTCTTTTCTCCCCTTCCCTCCCTCTTTCTTCCCTTTTTTCTGTATTGTCATTTAGCTTTTTCGTCATTTAGCTCTTGGGGGGCTTTTTAAGTCCTTTCTGCTGTGTTTTTCAGTGTTTTTATGAGTGAAGGACATACATTGGGTTGTTAGGTGTCCAAATTTGGTGTCAATTCGTCCAGTGGTTTTTGAGTTCTGTTAATCTCACAAACTAACATTACATTTTTATTTATATATATATATATTATTATTATTATTATTATTATTATTATTATTATTATTATTATTATTATTATTATTATTATTATATTACAGTATTATTCGATGATTGTATTATCGAGAACGGCCACTGGAGGGTGCTCAAACTCTGCTTCCTTCTCCCTTTGCAAAGAGACCAGTACAAACTGTGCCAGGCTTTCTCTCTCTCTCTCTCTCTCTCTCTTTCTTTTCTTTCCTTTTGTTCATTCATTCTTTCTTTCTCTCCTCCTCCCTGTCTCTGGAATTAATTAATTGGGACCCCCCCTATGGAGCCAGCAGGGTCAACAGCCTTGATGGGAATTGACAGCAAGCAGCAGCAGCAGAAGAAGGAGAAATAACAGAAGAAGAAGGAGGCAGGCCCCTTTGGCCCCACATTATTATATTATTGTTATTATTATTATCTATTATTGTATTATATGATTTTATTGTATAATATAATACAATATAATCATATCATACAATATTATTATTATTATATTGTTTTACTTTATTATATGATTCCATTATTTTATTGTGTTATAACATATTATATCATTATGTAATTGT